CCATTATTAGACATTGTCTATTTGCTAAAAATAGACAGCAGAACCACACTGAGATGAGGCCTTTAACACTTGAATGATGAATGTTATCCTAAATGATATCTGGACTGCCCTCTATGTGCCTGATGTGTGTGCAGAACTCATGACAAAAGTGTGTGAATTTGGTTCATAAAACTCGCACAGAAATGCAGAGTAAAAGAACATTGTGAAACCCTGGTGACGAGCCAACTGATGTACCAGACGAATGAGAGGTTGCTCGAGATGCAAGCCCTCTGTGAAAAGTAGACAGAACCCGAGGGTCATTAGCGCAGGGCTAAAAACTCTAACACCTCTCTGCAGATTTTCCCCTGGCGTCAGGTTACCTTGGTTAAACTAAACCCTCTCTATGAGAACAGTGTCATTAAAGAGAGCTCTAATATACACTTTAAGACTGATTATTGTTTTTTACATCATACTTTGCGTTGCCACACCTACCTTAAATGTTTAGGACATTGGGTGGAACCGGGGGGTTATGAAATGTTCTCAAAATGAAAAAGAAAAACAACAGTGTAAGAACGGGGTCCGTTTTAGTCAGACCATTCAGCCAAAAGTAGACAGATGGTGTAAGATGTTGAATATGTGTGTTTGACTTAACAGTTTATGAGGGAAAGAGGTTAGAAAACTATCTTCTCACAGCGAAGTTCAACTCCACAACAGTCGCCACTTTATGTTTCTGTTAGCCTCTTAGAAAATGTGGTAGTGTCCACTAAATATGAATTATATGAGCAATATATGGAGGATTTAATTGAAAAATATTGATTTAGTCTTATATTCCTATATATTACCAACAAGATTTTGTTAGGCCTATATCTGTTTTCTTTCATATGTTTATATTTTAGAAACAGTTAAAACTTAACTCAGCAAACTTTACATAAATAACCTTACAATTATGTCCACTATAATAATGTAAATGTGAGTACATTCATACCTTAAAATTTGAAATATATTACAAAACATACAGCAGTTTTCACGGAAATGTAGGCCTAATTATAATTGCGGGTTTTCACTAAACTAGCAACAGCGCCCTCAAGTGTAGGCTACTACAACGATTTGAGAACTTTAACGGGATAGTTCACCCCAAAATGAAAATTCTATCATCATTTACTCACCCCCAAGGTGTTCCAAACCTCTATGGATTTCGTTCTTTCGTTGAACACAAAATAAGATGTTTTGAAGAATATGAGTAGGCCTAACCAAAACAGTTGATGGGCCCCATTGACTTCCATAGTATGGAAAACGTTACACATTTGATACCTCAAACAATTATAACAACAAACATAAAGCTTACTTTAAAAATATGGTAGGCCTACATATGCTTTTGTAATTTATGAACACTAAATGGATTGTTTACTTATAGCTAAACTAGCTGTAAAAATGTTGCTACAATGTTTCTACTTTATGTAAGTGAAGTTAGTGTGTAATGCACTCCAAAACAAGAGCTTGTTATTGCCAGAGCACAGGCGAGTGTGAGAGGTGACAGATGTGTGTCAGGGTCGTGTTGCTCTTATCTCTGTGTCCTTCCTCAGCTCTGCTTCTTTGCTCCCTTTTCGGTGAAGAATGAGACAACAGCAGGTGCAGAGTATTTCTATCAATTGTACTTCAAAACAAAGTCAAAATTAAATGGTCAATGTGTTAAAAGACGTTTTGAACACACGTGGTAGCCTAAATGCACTAAAAACCCTAAGTTTTTATAAGGTAGCCTATAACGTATTTGAAATGCTATCTAAAATAATACTTGCATCATTGCTTCTTTTCATTTAAAATGTTTCTGAAGAGATTCTTGGTTTCTGTCAGCTAGCTGTATAGCCTACTGTTATTTCCATCCTCTTATCTCAGACCTATTTCAGGTAGGTTGCTCTGTCTTTTCCATCTGCACTCTACAAGTCTCTTAACGTCATTCAAAATTGAATTGCATTTCTCTTGTGTTGGATCAAAGTGTTGAAAGTAGGCCTATACTCTCGAGTAATGAAAAGACTAGGAGCAGCTGGTACCGAAATCACACATTTTCACAAGAGGGAAAATGCTAAAAAAACGATAAAGAAACCAGTCAAATAAAAAAGGCATTGCATTATAGCTATTCAGTCATGATAGTCATGTTTGAATTACAGACAGACATGTTAAAAAAATCAGAGTAATGGTTTGTTTTAAAATATTTGGTGAGGGCCAACAGCAAATATCAATGCATATCAACATCTGTATTTCCTTTTTATTGTATTTTTTCATTCTTTCTTTCTTTCTTTTTTGTTTCAGCGTTTTTTTTTTAAATCTATAATAGTGATAATCAGTTGCAAAAATTAACATTTTATTTTTAGATTTTTTTAATGATTTATTAGTCAAAGTACTACTGTACGACTATGAGTTGCAAAATATCCACAACCAATTTTATTACACAATGAGATGAATTAAAAAAAAATCTAACCGATATGATTGCCACTTGTTACTTTGTCTCTACATAATGGCACTATTCAATACAAGATTACTACATGTGTCGAACGGTAGATGGCGCTGTGTCACAAGTATTGGAGAAGAAGCGTGTGACGTTCCTTTGTAAGATCGACCAACATGAGCCCAGTTTAGTAAAAAGAAAGAAAGAAATTGAGCCCACTTTAGTGCCCTTTGTGTCTTTAAGTAGCCCCATTTGAATTTGTGATCATTCAGCGCGAAGCAATATTATACCCTTAATATTTAGCTAGGCCTACTTGTAAGATCTTTTCTCAATAAAGCAATTTGCGAAAATTAGTATTGGAGAGAATGGAGACTGTTTCTCATTTTGTTCTACACGTCTCAAACTTTGATATAATATTCACATATTTCCCTGCTATGAATTAAAGTATTTTTGAAAAAAGTCTTACAACTTTTACAGCCACCTTAGTATGGTGATGGTCATGACTCATGTCTGATATTGATTTCACCATAGGCTCATTTCTGAATGGCTGCAAGTCACATCTTGTTACAACACTCCTGGTCTCCCCTACATTATGTAAATGCCTTAAATTTTAAGACTTTAAAAGATAAAATAAGACACAAATTCATCACTAAATGAAATACAAAGAAGTGTCCGTTTGAATATAAAAGTTGAAATCAATCCATCCATCCATTTTAAAGCTTCTTGCTGTGAGGCGACAGTGCTCCGTTGTGCCGCTCTATTGTTGAAAATGACTATAAAAAGTTATTCTTGATTCTTGAATATGCTCAGGAATAGATGAATAGGTTGTAGAGTCAGGATTATGTTTCAGAGCGACTGATGTAGGCCAGGTCAATCTCGGGGGATTATAATGTGGAGTATAATTTGCATCAGATGGAGATGTCTGTATTCGTTTTGGGATGAAAATGTGGAGACAGATGAATAGTGAATGTGATTTTCAGAAGTTTAAGTAGTTTAAGATTAGTCTAATAGTTTAAGATTAAATAATGCATTTGTGTTTCACTTTTCTAGGAGTTTTTTTGCATGTGTCGGTTTTTACCTACTGTGTATTTGTTTCCTTCCTAAACTGTGTGTTTAAAGAAAGCATGGGTTTCCTTCCCAGTGTCCTCTGGGTGTGGTCTGAGAATGACAGTGGTTTCCGGTCTAGGACCCAGACTTGTTTTTTTTCAGTGTTATTTCTGAGCACTGACTAAGAGGCACATGGGCAGACAGATGTGTGACATACTGTCAAGATCTAAAATTTGGATGTTCTTTCATTTCTATGAAAGATTAACAAATACTATCCATTTTATTCCAATTTTGGATTAGGCTCTTAATCTATAAATGCATCAGATGTCTGTTGTATTGCAGGGTGACCCAAGGCCACATAATCTAAAAAGAATTACAGGAAATTTGACACAAAGATGTTTTTGAAGGATCGATTTTGAAACTAATCCCTAATAACTATTGTGTTGTGAGCGGCATAGCCAAAACAATAAAGTTATACACAAAGCCACTAAAATGAGCTGCTAACAAAAATATGCCGCTTTGTGGCTGGTTAATGTGACTGTTGTTCAGCGTGGTGGTCTCGGCCAGCAGGTGGGCATTGTTTTCAGCTGTAAGGTTGACAGGTGGTACAGTAGTGAGCTACTTTGGTAGTTTCATGTTTTGTTTTTTGGTTCCGCTTTAGCCTGGGTGAATTCTGACTCACAGAAATGTGTAAAAATAGAGCCATACACATATTGAGGGATTTTAGTTGCGTCCCATAGCTTTCCTCTGCTCCCCCTATTTAGAGGCCTCCTTCCTTCCTTCTCTCTCTTTTGTTCTGTTTTATTAACAAAATGCTCTTATTGCTTGTGTAAGAGAAAAGGCACTATCTTGTTTTTCAGCCACAGTGGTCTGTTTGTGCTTCAGTCGTGTGCTCCTTATTAAATGCACAAATAAGATCCAGATGCCCTGTAAAAAAAAACCCTCAACATAGGACTAACGGCTGCAAACGTAGGCTACGGGCCACATATGACACAATATCTCACTCCCACAAGTCTGTAGACTTCAAACAGGTAAATTATGAAAGTCATGAGCATATAACATACAATAACACTTAAAAGAAAATTCTTTAAATAAATGACCATGTGGTTAGTAAATTAAGTATTTTAGACATTACTCTTTAAAAAAAATACTCAATCGCTCATGCTCATACTTATCATTTTCTACTCCTTGTATGGTGAACAAATTTAGCTCACCACTTAGTTTGAGCAGATGTTTCTAGTGAAACGGTCTTCATTTAAAGTGATTTCAAGTCACTTTATAGAGTTTCCATCCCTGCTTTACTCTGTCAAAGTGCCAAAAGTGACCTAAAAGCATTTTGCTTTATTGCTGATTTTATTATGAATTATTGACCAGAATAACTAAACGGAACCTTACTGTGGTTAGTAGAACGTTTTCTGCATTTATGATTTATACACGCCCCTCCTCCTGCTTAATATGCAGCCCCGCCCTGATTAATTATTCAGCAATCCCGTTCTTCCTTCGCCACGCCCCCTCATTAATTTCAGCACGCTTCCAACCCACTACAACTTTTGCTTTATTATTTCGCGGCCATTTAGGGAGACTGGAAGTGATGTGGTTTTTCTGGTAGAGGTTTTAAGGAAAACAATCTGGATTTATTTACTAAACATCAACTTCAGAAAGTAGGCTATTTGATTTCATAAACCCTCTCGCAGCAGCAGGACTTGGTGATCTTTGCTTGCTCATTTAGACTTAAGCCGTTTTCTTAAAGGGGATCGGATACACTGCACGTCATCCTCGGTCCAGTGCCACTCCCGAAGGATTAAGTTGTTGGAATATGGAGCAAAGGCACTAAGCACAGGAGCGGGAGTCATCTTGTGTGGCCGAGTGGGTCGCCCCGTGTCCGGCCTTGCGAGTGCTGGAAATCCCGTTATAATGGGATGCGGACTACGGAAACTGGAGGACCCGGAGGACAGCAGCCCGGGGAAAATCTACTCTACTTTAAAGAGACCACAGGTCGAGACCAAAACAGACTCCGTGTACGAGTATGTGCTTCTGGACTTCAGTTTGGAAGGTAACGTTACAGAACAGTTCAGTAAACAAAAGTGTGGATGTGATGTTCGCTTACAAAAAATGCCATGGTAACCATAGTTTCCACCAAAATACTAGTTATTTACGTTATTTTTACTACAATAAAACTGCGTTAACTTAGTAACTTCCGTGGTAGGCTACTTTTTCCATTTTGCAAGCCAAGGGTGTAATGAATGAGAAAGAGCTACAGTTGTTCATTCGGCTGTGTCTCACACAACCCTCAGCCTGGCTAGACAACAGTGGCACGTGCCAGTAATGCCCAAAATGCTCCCTAGGCAGGAAGCTCGCTAGGATTTGAGACGGTATATAATATTTTAAATGTCCAACTTCTGGCAATGATGGATCCTGGCATGTGCGTCCTGGAGTTTGCGAGAGCTTATACCTTTTTACCCAGCAACAGCGCTGAAGCCTCATCACATGTGGAAATAGGTCAGGGGGTTTAACGCGCCAGTTCAAGATGACATCCATACTCAGACTTCCTCCGTGCAACAGTTTCCACTATCTGCATTTCCCATAAGCGTCTTTTTCATGGTTTGAAAGAACCATCCACAGTCTTATTCAGTAGGCTACTGACCACATTTATAGTAACGTTATAGTATAGCAGCATAGTATAGTCCGTGTATTGTTACGTGTCGTGTTATTTTGCCTGGAGTAGAAGCGGATTGTTTGAAAGTTGAAAGGTGCGGGTTTCTCGCTAGCCAGCCGGGAGCGGGAAATAAAAACCACGTAATGGATTTGGAATACCTGGAGTGATTAATGAACGCTTTGAGCGCTGAGAGGAAACTTCATTCACACTATTTCACTCATCTTGCTGCTCCAGACCGTATTTCAGTCTGTGCGTTAGAACCATTTTCGGTAACGAAAAATCTGTACAAACTTAAATGGCCAATTCTTTTCTTTTAATAAACATTATCTAATGTTAACTTTTTGTTTATTGTACTATTGTAAAATGCTGAGGAACAAAGCAGCAACCTAGCTGATCAGTATCACGGCACTTTAGATTGAGTAATATTTCTTACAGGACTAAAATAATTTTATGATGGGAAATGAGATATACATAGAATAGTCCAGTATTACACTACAGTGTGTTTCTTTGTTTGTTTTGTAATGCCATGCTAGCTTCTTTGGCCATTTTCATGGCGAAAACCTAGGCCTACTCGAGTTAAAAAATTTAAAATAGAGAAACTAAATATATTTAAGAAGACCAATTTTTCCTAAAACTAAATTTAGATTAACTTGATAAAATATGTTAATACAGTTTTATTTTCTTCAGATGACAAAATATTACAATCCAATCAAATATGTTTGACAGACAAGGGGTTCTGACATGATGTAAATTTTTCATTTCATTTTAAAGCTGCAGTCTGCAGTTTTTCCTCTTTGTCGCCATCTCTGTTCGAAATCTGCAATTGCAGTCATTTGCGGAATTATCAACTTTACGTGAGTTGTACTTCAACACCCTCGACACGGCACAGCGCGGATGAACACAATGTTTGAGGAGACTGAGGCTGTCAGTCACCGCGCCGGTGTGGATACTGTCATTCAGAATCACAGATTATTCTTTTTGGAAGTATGACCAACATAAGAATTTTCACCGGAAAATGTCATCTGAACAAGTAAGAAACATCCACTTTTGTTCTGGTTCTGACATTGCAGTAAATCGCGCTGATTAAATCTAACAATCGCTTATAAGTTATCATATCACGCAAAATCGTGCAAATTATACTTCGTTCTCAAATTGTTAATGTTGACAACGTCAGCATTGCGTGACTACATGTAATGTCCTTCCGATATTATCCTTGTTTTCGCATGGGTCCGGTTGCAGGCTCTTTTTTTTTCTGTAGCCACTCCGAAGTCCGAACGAAGTCTTTTGCATTTACAGCGGGTGAATCTGTTGTCACTTGTGATTGTCGTTTGAACCTTTCTAGATCCGCCATCAAATTGATAAGTTTAATTATATCAAGTGCTGTGAGAAAAGGCTATAAATCTCCACCTCCAACATCCTCACACGCAATATAGCTTATACTAGCCGAGACTCCTTCTACAGATGTGACGTAATGACGCAAAGACATGCTCGAATCTCCCGCGAAAATCCACCAGTACCACTGGAATTAAAAACATTATTACAAGCTTACCGCTTTGAATCGAGCTAAGGCAAGCAGATAGTTTTGAACACTGGCTGGTTATGTATTTTCTCAAATATGTATTTTGGATAAATTTTAACCCAAAAAAAGCTACGGACTGCAGCTTTAAATATTTGTCAAATAGGTTTTTAAACCTGTGTAAGCCTTGAATGTCCTATGCTGCATCGTATGTAAATGACTTTTTCCCTACAGTTATTAAAAGTAAAAAGTACCAACAATAGGATTGATGTAATATAATTTAAGCACTCATTCCATTATGATTGCCACTTGTTTTTGACATAAGCCTATACATTTAGATTAGGTTTCAGATCTGAGAAAGGTATAGAACGCTTTTCCAATTCTGTAATGCTTCTTTGGCAGAAAGAGAAAGAATAAAATTGTAGTATGGATACATTTATCTTATTATATATTTTTTTTATCTGAACATAAACATGTCTGCGGGTGTGGGAGTTGGAGATTTGTTCTAGCCTTTCATTCCCGAGAACACCTGGTGTACAGATTCCTGAAGCGATGGTGTCTGTCTGACACTGCTCACCGGAGCCATCACATTATTTAGACAGATCTGCATCACAGACTGTGCTCCTTTGCCTTGCTCTATCTTCATATCGAATGTAACCTGTGGAAACTCTTCCTCGGCTGTGTGCCTGTGAGTGTTTGAATGGTTTCGAGATGATGTGGCTATACCTTTCGAGTCGACTCAGTTCTTCTTTGCAGCCATTTGCAAGACCTCAGCTTGACAAATACAGCTATCTATGCCTAAAATCATGGTAGAAGTGTATCACGTGGAAAAATACCACAGTTGTTGTTAGCTTGCATACTCCATGCATGCTCTCTTCACTTGGACCTGTCTTGTCCTGCATCTCATGTCAGGACAGGAACAATGCTGGTTTCTACCCTCGTAAAAACAAAAGTTACAGACAGGTTTTTCCACAGTGATGCCATAGAAGAACCATTTGTGTTCCCATTCATTTTTTCCTTCATGTTACTTTGAAGAATTTGTTAATAATCTAAAGAACCTTTTTTCCACTATAAAGAACCTTTTGTAAAATATAAAGGTTCCATGGATGTTAAATGGTTTTCATGGACCCATAGATGCCAATAAAGAACCTTAATTTTTAAGAGTGCAGGGATGTGTAAACTGTTTTGTCAAATAATCTTAGAGGTCTTGTCTGTTGTGCAAAAGGAAAGCTAAAGGATCTTCGGTGATTCATCTTACTTGGGTTGTGGGAAGGTCCAAGGTTTGGTGTGCTCCGTATGTGTGGCTTTCCTGGACACTCAATTATGTATCATTTGGATGAGGACAAGGTAGAAAATAACTTTTTCTCTTTTTTTTTTATATAAAGAGAAATAAAATAATTTATGTAAAGTACTGTAATGTTCATTAACCAATCTCCCACCCCTCCCCCCATTCATTAAAAATAAAATGCAAAAATGTCTAATTTAGAAATTAATTTATGACATTGTATGCATCATTGATGCTATTGGCATGTATACAGGAGCTTGCCTGATGCTTAATTTGGGTGTTTGGTTGTAGAAAGCCAGATGTTTATGTTGCAGAGGCAGCAGACAGAATTACGAGTGGCCTTAATCTCTACCTTGGATCAGTTTCATTGCTGTCAAGTCGAAAAAGGGATTAGTTTCAATGTCTCATTTTGGCCTTAAATCATTTGATTATAATATTTGTCAATAATATTCTTAAAGGGTTAGTTCACCCAAAAATGAAAATTCATAATGGTCTCACCCTCTCCATAATTGAGCATAGTGAATTAATCCTTTAAATGATAGAATTCAACATTATAGTCAGACGTAAGGTGTACGGTATGTTGGTGTAATCTCCCTTTTGGTTAATCTCGTTCTGGCATGCTGATGGATTTATGAGTATTAAAATGAGTTTTCAGGCAATGTAGTTTAATCTAGCAAGACTGGTTAATCGGGTTGTCTCAAGGCCTGTAACTGAAATGAACTACTATGATGACCTTGCAATATTTTGCTGGGTGAAAACATGTCTTTCACACCAAAATAAACAATAAAAAGAAAGAAACAATTTTTGCATAATGTAAATAAATCCTGGCCATTTAGACCAAAAATAATTTTATTTAAACATAAATAATAAACATTATTTATCCATTTTTGATGGAAGGTAAGCACTTTTTTTTATTTATTATTAAATTGTCACAAAATTCAGTACAGCAAATACTACCGTGATGTATAAATATTTACTATATTGATTACAACAGCATGGTGGTGTTATATTTGTTGTTATTTCACCTCAAAATCTAAATATTTATAAAATAATTTGTTTTGCATTGTGTGTATGTATATATACACTCACTTACACACACACACACACACACACATGTATGTATGTATATATACACACACATACACACACTACATATATATAGTGTATGTGTGTGTGAGTGAGTGTGTATATAGACATCCATATGCTTTCTCTTTTTCTTAATGCAAAACAAATTCTTTTATAAATATTTTGATTTTGGGGTGAAATATAACAGCAAATATAACAACAGCACGCTGTTTTAATGAATTGATGGAATATTTGATTGAAGGAAATATTTCCACACTCTGAAAAGGTCTACTTCCATACACAAGACATCTTTTCCCCTAAACCCTTTCTGGGTCATAAAATATCCCATAAATTCCTTCCTTCTACCTCCTTCGTCTCCCTCTCATATCCCAGTCTATCTGTTTCTCATTTTCCCTCTGCAGCTTTCACACCTTCAAACTCTTCTCCATGTCTTCTCACCCCCTTTTCTTTTTTATTCATCCATTCTGCTTGTTCTCTTTTTATAAACAACACACATACACAGTCTCTCTCTCTCTGTGTCTCTATGGAGAACAGAGGCCTCTGTGTGAGAGTTGACAGGAGGGGGGGTTCAAGGGTTTGGGACAAATTGCAGGCCTTTCTAAGGTCTGTGTCTCTGTGAACGAGCCACCGTTCTCCCCACCCCATTGGGGTCGTTGTGTCCATGACGAGTCTCTAAAGCTCAGGTGTGAAGGGCGGACATGTATACGTGCCAGTTAAAGCCCTTTAGTGGCCACAGACACCGGGATGGCGAAACTTTCAGGTAGCTGCCAAATCAGACTTGGACGAGAATAGAAAACTCGTTCTCGTTCATAGCCGTTTACTGTTTGAGAATGAGTTTTCTGTCGTCCGTGAGATCGTCTCTCATGTGAGGTTAAAAAATTCGGGTCTGCTCCACTGTGGGAACCGAAAGACTGAATGTTTGCGCGAGTATGTTTGTGTTGTGTGTGGTGGAATGTTGTGTTTGTGAGGCTGAGTGTGTGTGGCATGGGGCCAGGCCTCCCTGTGAACAGCAGCTCTTTGTGGACACAGGAAGTGTGTTGGGGGGTTGGGGGAGAGGAGGGAGACGTCAGGGTGATCTTCTGTCAGAGGCTGCAGACAGGAGGAAGAGAAGCTAACTAAACGGTAGCACGCTATTGAAGAGCCGCTTAGAGAAACCTTAACATTGGCTCAGTGGCCGGCCTTGCTGTTTGCTGCCTACATAGACAGCATCCTAAGTGGAATGGAACTCGGAAATGTAACGCTGTACATGGGCAGCAACAGTTTGCATCATACAAATAGCGCTTGACTTGACTAAAATTGACTTCAGTAACCTTTGTTAACAGTTATCCATAAATAAATTCACAAATATTAGGTAAAATAATGTGTAATTAAAATTATTTTAGTACTGCTTTTAAAGGGTTAGTTCACCCAAAAATGAAAATTCTGTCAGTAATTACTCACCCTCATGTTGTTCCAACCCCGTAAGACTTTCGTTCATCTTCGGAACACAAATTAAAATATTTTTGATTAAATCTGAGAGCTGGATCACTCCTCCATAGGCTTCTTAAGGGATCGAAACTGACCGGCCCAAAAGTTATGAAAGACATCGTTAAAATAGTCCGAGTGACTACAGTGGCTCAATCTTAAGTTTATCAAGCAACAAGAATACTTTTTGTGCGCAAAAAACAAACAAAAATAACTACTTTATTCAACTAATCATTTCCTTCTCTGTGGGCCGTGATATTTCACGTAGTGAAACTACGCAAAGCTTCTAGGTTGTACGTCACGCATCACACACATGACCAGCGTCGGCCAATAGTGATCCTGCGTCTGACGTGCAACCTAGAAGCTTTGCGCAATATCACTACGTGAAATATCACGGCCGTACAGAGATGGAAATGATTAGTTGAATAAAGTCGTTGTTTTTGTTTGTTTTTTGCGCACAAAAAGTATTCTCGTCGCTTGATGAACTTAAGGTTGAGCCACTGTAGTCACTTGGACTATTTTAACGATGTCTTTCATAACTTTTGGCGACCCTAAACTTTTGAACAGTAGTGTACATTTCACATTTAGGACAATTTACACTCACCGGCCACTTTATTAGGTACCCCATGCTAGTAACGGGTTGGACCCCCTTTTGCCTTCAGAACTGCCTCAATTCTTCGTGGCATATATTCAACAAGGTGCTGGAAGCATTCCTCAGGGAGTTTGGTCCATATTGTCATGATGGCATCACACAGTTGCCGCAGATTTGTCGGCTGCACATCCATGATGCGAATCTCCCGTTCCACCACATCCCAAAGATGCTCTATTGGGTTGAGATCTGGTGACTGTGGAGGCCATTTTAGTACAGTGAACTCATTGTCATGTTCAAGAAACCAATTTGAAATGATTAGAGCTTTGTGACATGGTGGAAGTAGCCATCAGAGGATGGGTACATGGTGGCCATAAAGGGATGGACATGGTCAGAAACAATGCTCAGGTAGGCCGTGGCATTTAAACGATGCCCAATTGGCACTAAGGGGCCTAAAGTGTGCCAGGAAAACATCCCCCACACCATTACACCACCACCACCAGCCTGCACAGTGGTAACAAGGCATGATGGTTCCATGTTCTCATTCTGTTTACGCCAAATTCTGACTCTAACATCTGAATGTCTCAACAGAAATCGAGACTCATCAGACCAGGCAACATTTTTCCAGTCTTCAACTGTTCAATTTTGGTGAGCTCTTGCAAATTGTAGCCTCTTTTTCCTATTTGTAGTGGAGATGAGTGGTACCCGGTGGAGTCTTCTGCTGTTGTAGCCCATCCGCCTCAAGGTTGTGCGTGTTGTGGCTTCACAAATGCTTTGCTGCATACCTCGGTTGTAACGAGTGGTTATTTCAGTCACTGTTGCCCTTCTATCAGCTCGAACCAGTCTGGCCATTCTCCTCTGACCTCTGGCATCAACAAGGCATTTCCGCCCACAGAACTGCCGCTCACTGGATGTTTTTTCTTTTTCGGACCATTCTCTGTAAACCCTAGAGATGGTTGTGCGTGAAAATCCCAGTAGATTAGCAGTTTCTGAAATACTCAGACCAGCCCTTCTGGCACCAACAATCATGCCCACGTTCAAAGTCACTCAAATCAACTTTCTTCCCCATACTGATGCTCGGTTTGAACTGCAGGAGATTGTCTTGACCATGTCTACATGCCTAAATGCACTGAGTTGCCGCCATGTGATTGGCTGCTTAGAAATTAAGTGTTAACGAGCAGTTGGACAGGTGTACCTAATAAAGTGGCCGGTGAGTGTATATAGTATGATATAATATCAGCTGTGGTGAACCGTCAGATAAACCTCTAATGAACTGTATATTGGACACTGAAATGACGCTTTCTCAAGAGTCTTCTTATTCTTCACGCAATTGAGGAGTAGGGAAAAAAAGTTTGATCCAATTTCACATTTGCCCACCCCTAAAAACTAAAGACTACCCACAGATAATAAAATAAACTGTGATTGGTCACTTTACATGTCTATCAGATAACCCTTCGCTGTCAAAATGGGCGGCTCTTGGCGAAAATAAATTGCGAAAGACTGTATCTCCATAATATTTTCATCATGTCTTCATAATATTAGCACAGCTTGTGGTATTCTGCCAGTGTCTTTTAGCACCGTATGGTGGTTTTCACTGAGTGCATTGTAAGTTTTAGTTCTGTTGTGTTCCACAGGCAGTCGGCCCACAGTGCAGTATCTATCCTCTCTGTGTGAGCTGCCCCATGCCCTGCAGTCCTACTACACCCAAGGCTTTGTACTGGCCACCCTGCATCCCATCATCCTCTCAGTGGGCCGGACCCGCTCTCTGCCCTGCAGCCTGCTCTACAGGGCCATTCTGGTCCGCCCACGGTCCAGGTAATGTTTACCATGTCCATACCTCATCATTGCACCCCCTTTTCTGTACCCCAAAAAACCCAGACAAGCTCCTTCCAAGTAAATAATAATTAACTTTTAATGAGTCTGCTCTGCATGAATATTTAATAATCAGTAGTTGGAGGTCAGACAGTCTAGCTAGAGTGGGCGGGGCTTGTGTGAAGTCAGACTGGAGTGCAGATGTGGGTTTTAAATGTAAGTTATAAGAAAGCCCTGACAACAGTGTAGTTTTTCACCAACCAATGAGAGCCTGCAAAGCAATGAGGATGATCACGATTTCCACTATGATGCTGTAGGTGACAATAAATTATTCAAAAAGTAAAGTCTGGGACAGTTGTAGTGTGTTAACAGTATTGTGGTGTGAAAAACACTGAGCTGTGTAATGCCAACTCCGACTGTGAATACTGTAGGAATGATGTCTGCATCCAGTCAGCATAAGCTTGAATGTGCTTTCAAGCAGAGACAATGGCTATGAAACTCGCAAAAAGCTAGTGGCATCCAGACGTATCCACATCCATTGTTTGCTTAACTTCCTTTCTACTAAGATGCCTCCATCTGGTCATTTCTTGAAGGAAGGCAGCATAGAAGTATTTTTGCATCCTGTGATACCCAACAGTACTGTCTGTGTGATTCAGTGGTTGCTTGAAAGAATAAAATGCTGTCTGATGGACTAGAAATAGGCTGGCTTGACAGGAATTTATTTTTAGTCAGGCGTTATTATTTTTAATTAACCTATTTCTACCAAGAAGTAAGCATTTGTAGTCGTTAAATGTTTGCTCGCATCTAAAGCGCACTTGAATCAGTTCTAGATCATTTGCGTTATGGTGCTGTGAAAACATATCTGAAATCAGTTTTGGTGTTGGCTTCATACAGAATGTTAAATCATTGACTTTCGGACACCGCTGATACGGTCAGTTGGGGTTAGAAGGGTTAAACCTCTCAGCAAATTGATACTTTGCTAATCGAGGACATGTGAAGAATAGCAAATGTCAGCAATTATAAAATATGCATAATGTTTACACCTTAATTGATGTGTATTTGTTTGTGTTGTGTGTGTGGTTGCAGTAATCATGCTGTGCCGATGATTGACAGCTTGCCAGTGTTGCGAGTGGAGGAGTGGCCTCTACCTGGAGAGTCTCTGACCAGTGACACAGTGAGACTGCTCATAGACAGGGTCCGTGTTTTTTTTCCACCACAAAAAAACAATAAATGTTTATTTTAGCCATGTATTTTTATATTTACTAGAAATAATGGTTACTTTTTCATAAAATGTTTAGGTTTATAAAGTTGCTTTTACAAAAATAAATAGGTTGAACAAATGCATAAAACTAAATTTGAAGATTTACAACCTCATCTATATTTGCTAGCTATATTTAATAGGGCTGCACAAATGCATAAAACTAAATTTGAAGATTTACAACCTCATCTATATTTGCTAGCTATATTTAATAGGGCTGCACAATTATAATAATCATCATTGTCTATTGATGCACAATTATGATAATCATCATCCTCAGGTGAACAGCTATGCCCGGGGTGGTGTGAGGTTTGTGGGATCAGTGCTTCAGCAGGCTGGAGGAGGGGGTTGTAACGGTAGAGTGCCCAGTCCCAGGAGGGGCTGCCGCTCCCCGTCCCGCACCCCACCTCGCACGCCGCCCGGAGACGGAGATCTAGAGGGCCGTGGCTACAGCCCAGGTGAGATTTTCCTCAAACCTCATTATAGACCATCTGAAGTCTCAATCATTAAACAATTATTGTTTTTTATAGCTTTAAATCATATACAATGATGTTTGACTGCACATATGAACTATAATTGCCTTGTGAGATTCACCCTACAAAGCATGATTCGAAGAACTTATATTTCAGCTTTGAAACAAAAAGCTAAATTATATTTTTTACCATAAAGACAAAAATATAGCATTGTTAAAATAATAACCAGTCTGTATAACCTCTTTGTAACCTTATTCAGTTTGAGTGGTGTCAGTTTAATTTTGGTTTAACCCTGTAATATCTTTGCCCTCTGTGGAGCCACAGTGCTTCCTCGCCCTCTGGGCATCATACCAACCGCTTGATTCTCCACGCCAACCATTTTGGGGCCACATGTGAGATTAAGATCAGTCAGAGGCTGTTAGCGTCTTAACACCAGTACTGTACCTCATTTCTCTGCCCATTTGACTTATTATTTATGGTAGATGGACTGCTAATAAAAATGGTGCCTAAATCAATGATCATTGCATGACTTATTCTATTAAAATTTGCCAGTAAGTTTGACCTTGCATTCTATTATCTGTTTGTCAGACAAAATGTGTGACTGTCACTGTCGTTTTCAGACCTGAGATTGTTGGTGCTGTTTCACTCCTGGGCTCCGGGCTGTGCCCCGCTGGACTCTCTCGCCTGCTGTTACCACCAGGGGGCGCTGTCCATGCGTGTGTCCAGAAAGGGCCAAGTTGTTAGTGCCCTGGAAGCTGATTGGCTGGAACTGACCGCAGCTTACTACCGCAAGGGCTGGTCACTGGTCGACTCCTTTATATATTGGGACACACCTAAAGGTAGTTCTCTGACTTATTTTTGACTGTCATTTGAGTGGTTCCTTGAGCTGGTTGTTCATCTGGCTGCCATGTTTGTGTTTCTCTGATTGCAAAAGAAAGAAGTCAACATTCTCTTTAGCTCTTCCCAAGAAAGTCATTAAACTTCATTTTCTCCAAGTACATCTTTTCATCCTCAGAAGTGATGTTCTTGATCCTCCTCTTTTTAAATCTCTCTGTCTTTAACTAAAGCCAAGATTTCTCTTCTCCTGTCTCTCACCAGAACTAAATTTAGAGCTCATGTCCCTAACCTCACGACCGTGCTTCCTGTTTCGCACAAGACTAATAGGGGCTAAATCAGATGTGTGTGTCTGTGTTTGTGTGTGTGTGTGTGTGTGGGTGGGTGTTTTAGACATCTGGGCTCACTCTCTCTATACTCTATGTATGCATGTATGTATGTATGCATGTATGTATGTATGTACGTATGGGGTCGAGATTTTTTTAAATATGTTTGAAAGAAGTCTCTAAAAAATATGTATATCAAGTTTCAAGTTTCAAGTTCATTATATTTATAAAGCACATTTAAAACAACCTTGGTTGACCAAAGTGCTGTACAAAATATAGCTATCTAAATCCATACAGACAATAAAAACAACTTTCACAAAACATTGAACGCACAAGAATACAAGTAGGTTTTTAAAAGATTTCTGAACTCAGACACTGTGGGCGCTGTTTTAATATGTAATGGCAATTTGTTCCATATCGTGGCCACGAATTAACAATCTGTTTCCTTGACATACTAATACATCAGCATGTTCTACTAATTTGTCCCCTCTTTTTAAAGCTGCTGTCCGTAACTTTTTTCAAGTTAAAAATAATCCAAAATAATTATTAAAAAAAAAACATATTCAGCCAGTGTTCAAAACTATCTGCTTGCCGTAGCTCGATTCAAAACGGTTAGCTTGTAATAATGATTTTATTTCCAGTGGTACTGGTGGATTTCCGCGGGAAATTCGAGCATGTCTTTGCGTCATTACGTCACATCCGTACACATAAAGAAGGAGTTTCGGCTAGCTATACTGCGCGTGAGGATGTTGACGTTGGGGAGAGTAGAGATGCCTTTTCTCGCAGCACTTTACATAATTGAACTTATGGCGGATCCAGAAAGATCCAAACGACAATCATCAGTGTCAACTGGAGATTCACCAAAACCCAAAAGACTTCGTACTTCGGATTTAAAGTTGCTAGAGAAAGACAGCAACCGTCTCATGTGAACACAAGGAACATAGGCAGGGCGTTTGGTGCGTGAACTCCGTGTTTTCAAGGGGTTCAAAACGGAAGAAGAGACGCTTTTTTCTGCTGGACAAGTAAGACATTTCAATAGTTCAATCGTGTAACAGTACCACAATTGTTTACTTAATTCACACAGTTATGGAGTTTCCTTTGTTGTGCCTTTCTCGTTTAGCTATTATGGAGAATATGAATTCTGAACTACAGGTAACCATAAAACACATTAAATGTAGTCACGCAAAGCTGATGTTGTTAACATTAACAATTTGAGAACAAAGTATACTTTGCACGGTTCGACATAAGCAATCGTTAGATTTAAGCAGCGCGATTTACTGCAGTGCAATCAATGCATTTTCCCCGTAGTTGATCTGAACAAAAGTGAATGTTACTTACTTGTTCAGATGACATTTTCCGGTGAAAATTCTTATGTTGGTCATCCTGTACTTCCAAAAAGTAGAATGTGTGATTCTGAATGCCAGTATCCACACCGGCGCTGTGACCGACAGCCGCGACGCGCACTCTCCTCACAACATTGTGTTCATCCGCGCTGTTTCATGCCGATGTACAACTCACGTAAAATTAATAATTCCGTGAATGACTGCAATTGCAGACTTCAAACAGAGATGGCGACAAAGAGGAAAAGCTACGGACTGCAGCTTTAAGTAAATCATGCGCACAATATAATAATTCATTCCCTCGATTTACTAAATCGTGGCCAGGTTGTTCTAGTTCGTTCCCTTGTTTTAGTTAAATCAAAACGAGGCTTATTCTTAAAGTCTCGAATAAATCAAAATCAAAACAAATTCTTAAAGGGTTAGTTCACCCAAAACTTAAAATTCTGTCAGTAATTACTCACCCTCATGTTGTTCCAACCCCGTAAGACGTTCATTCATCTTCAGAACATGAAGATCTTTTTGATGAAATCTGAGAGCTGTCTTACTCCATAGGCTGCAAGGTAATTTCATCTGCCAGCCCAGAAAAGTAGTCGCGTAGTGTAACAGTGCAGCGATTCTGGGTTGTACGTCAGAACGTAGGCTCACTACGTAGGCCCACGCTGGTCATGTGTGTGATGCGCGTGATGCTGGCCAATAGTGAGCCTACGTTCTGACGTACAACCCAGAAGCGCTGCGCTGTGACACTACGTGAACTCACTCAGAGGCCCACACAGAAGAAAATGAATAGTTGAATAAAGTCGTTATTTTTTTTATTTTTTTTTGCATACAAAAAGTATTCTCGTCACTTGATAAACTTAAGGTTGAGCCACTGTAGTCACTTGGAATATTCTAACGATGTCTTTAACTTTCTGGGCCGGCAAGTTTCAATTACATAGAAGCCTATGGAGGAGTGAGACCGCTCTCAGATTTAATCAAAAATATCTTAATTTGTGTTCCGAAGATGAACGAAATTCTTACGGGGTTGGAACAACATGAGGGTGAGTAATTACTGACAGAATTTTCAGACAGAACTAACCCTTTAATTTGTGGGAATTCATTATTAATTTGTGGCCACGATATCTTTTGTCCGCATGTCATGTGCGGGGCTCTGCATTTATTTGAACAAAAAAATATAAATTAAGTAAGGTTGTTTAAAAAAAAATCACAATTCATAATAACTCTTTTTCTATTTTAATCTATTTTAAAATGTAATTGACTATTTATTTAGTTTAGTTGTAAAAATACTGAAATCTTTGAAATATGTTCTCAGTGTTGGCTCTATAATCTAATTCTCTCTCTCTCTCTGTCCTCTCATACATGTTGGTGCACATGGATTTGTCTTGCTGTCTTATAAGTAGTTCAGTTTCATTATCTTTTGTAGGTCATTGACACACTTCCAGCACTGACTAAATGAGACCTACAAATTGTTGCTCTGTGGTTCAGTGGGTAACTATATCAGAATAAAATAGTCTCCTTAGTTAAAAACAGCCACTTATAATGTTCAGATCTGTGTAATCATGTTAAAAGGAAGTCATTAATACTGCTCATGCTTCAGATTAGGCTTTTGAACAATTAAATTAACATACAAATATACATGTACTCATACAGACATCATGTAAAAACCTAGCTGTGAATTGTCATATACCAGTTCTTACTGTATCATGTAGATTTGTACTCGTTGTTTTTACAGGTGAGCCAGTGCCCAGGTCTCTAGAGGGGCTGTTTGTCTACGAGGAGAAAAGCACAGCGCCACCTGCCAATGACACTATTGTAGTGGAGCAGTGGACTGTTATAGAGGTGTGAAATGTCTGAAAGGTGTCACATTAATTGTGTTGTGAATGGCATTTTTATGTTCTCCTTAATTTTATTCTGGTTTGTGTGTCAGGGTTCAGATGTGAAGACCGACTATGGTCCTCTGCTCCACACATTAGCAGAGTTCGGCTGGCTGCTCACCTGTGTGCTGCCCACCCCAATTATTCGCCATGACAGGTGGGAGTGGGACCCTCACACTACAAGCTGTATAATTATCTTCATTTACACCCCATCACCGTTTCCAAAGCTGACGGTTTTTCTTTTCCTGCAGTGAAGGAAATCTCGCCACTAAACAAGTTGTTTTTCTTCAAAGACCTGTCAAAGGCCAATCGGTACCACGGCACAATCAGGTACCCGTTTACCAGTGTCAGTTCAATCTGTTGCTTTTCTTATAACTTTTATAAAGAATTATATGTAACTATTTACAGTCTATTTTTGTGAGGAGGAGTAACTGTGATAGTTCAACCAAAAAAAAATTCAAACAATCCAGTGTTATTTATATAACATTATTGTATTTATTAATAAGTAGCTTTTATTTTTACATTTTTTATTTTTCATGTTAATGTTTACATTTGTATTAATTTTATGTGCTTTTGTCATTTTTGTTAGTCATTGTCATTTTATTAGTTTTTTTTATATTACTATTTAGGTTTAATTTGTTTTAATTTAAGTTTTAGGTTTTTTTTATTTACAGTGAATCATTTTCGTGCTTCAGTTTATTTCAGTTAGTTGCCAGCAGGGTTATTATCGTTAATTTAAACTAAACCATAAAAAAAAACATTGTCATTACTTGAAACAAAATAAAGGTCAAATGAAATAAAATTAATATATGAAATAATATATTAATTTATATATATATATATATACTGTATAATGGCATTGTAATTAAATAAACTATCACTAATAAATAAGTATTAATAAAAACTTTAGACATTTAATAAAAGGTAACGCTTTACAGGTTTCATTAGTTAACATTAACTGCATTAGTTAACATGAACTAACAAGGAACAACACTTATTTACAGCATTTAATAGTTTTAATTTCAACATTTACTCTATTAACGTTAGTTAAAGCACTGTGAACTAACATGAACGAACAATGAGAAATATATTTGTGCAGCATTTATGACATTTTGTTCATGTTAGTTAATACGTTAACTAATGTTAACAAAGACATTGTAAAGTGTAAACAAAAACCCCACAAACTAATAAAATTACAAAAACATGAACTAAAATTAAAGTGAAAAATATACTAAAACTAAAGTAAAAAATATATAAAAACCTAATTAAAAATGTTAACAAAGACTATCATAGTATATTAATGATACTAAAATAACACTGATTGATTTCTGATTTCGATTTTTTTATTTTTTTTATTTCAGCTTTGTCAGTTCACAAAAAGTTTTTAAAACCCTTGTTTTTGTTCCTCCAGGGAACCACGCGGCGAGAGGTGTCCAGTCACTCAGTGAGTCGAGGTGTGGAGGAAGCGCACACAGAGCTGTCGTCTCCATGTTCAGGGGGGATCGGTGGTTTCCCGGTGTTTGGAGGAGGGTATCTCAGTGCACTCTCCCACCTAGATGAGGGAGGATTTGAGCCAGACGATGGGGCTGCAGAAGTCACCTGTATGTGACGCACCGAATCAAAGACGCAATTTGTTTTGTCCGACAGAAACCTTTGATGGTTACGAGCTGCAGCAATGCCCTAGAATTTACTACGTCACAAGGACAAAGAGATTGGCATTCTTGTATTAGAAACGGACTCATAGCACTTTTAACTTTTCGTAAGTTATTTTTTAACAAGCCATAACGTATCATAGAGGTCAGTTTTATTTTACCCTTTTATTTTTAATTGAAAGCACAAAGTACGTGCAATCCTTCTCTTTTTTTGACACAAAGTATCAAAAACAGCACTGAAAGTCACTTATTTGCAACAGCAGTATTTCACAGCACTCGCACGACACAACTACATGTACAGTTCATATCACATTTGTAGCACAATAACAACACAACAGAAACAAGAAAAAGGCTTCAACACCTCAACAAATCTTTTTTCTCTCCTTATCACCGAGTATCCTTCCTCACTGTTCGTTTTCCTGTTCCTTTTTTACTTCAAACCAACTGACTATTGAGTTGTTTGTTCCAACACCTGGAACGGTTCTGTGTGACGCACTCAGAAACTGAGTGTCCAAACCGCCCCTCTGTTGGACGAGGACGTTTATTTGGTGTGCATATTTGGGACATGCTTAGATTTGTTTTGCAGGAATTTTCCAGGCCTTGGAGTCAAAACATCAGGAATGCTCAATACAGCTTGGGACACCAGTGTTTAAGGGAAATGCATATGCACTGTAAACGTACAACGCTGGAGGCAGGACCCCATGAGCTAGTCTGCACTAAACCCAGAACTTGATGCTGTAGTTTGGTTTATCTGATCTCTGCCATGAACTCAAGTGGTGGTAGTTGAATTTGTATGTTAATCTTCTAGGAATTTCTGCTATCCAAAAGGGAAAGGTGATGCACTCAGATTTGCATGTTAAGAGGCAAAATTTCAGTTTTACTCTGACTGTAGTTCTCTTCAGGCTGATGATCAAATTAGATTTATCAGGCTGGATTTTTTTTTTTTTTTTTAAAGCGGCAATGGTGCTGCTTGTGCCACCTTATTCACTTGTACGTTGTATAATTTTAACTGAGTTAAGCTTTGTACTTTTTGCATCTTATATTGCCTTGACAATGTTTATCCCTCTTTGAGGAATGGCAGAATAGAATAAGCACGTTTTAGCTGGCAAAATAGACTATCAAGCTGCTGTAATTGTTTGATGCCTGGAGAACCTAGTAAGATGTTTCTTCACTCCAGAAGCTGAGCTCAGATATTTAACATTATATTCTAATATGCCAGAACTGATCAGTATTATTTACCAACTGTAGTATTTGAATGATTCAGACCATTTTTTTTAAATATTTTATTAAATAGGTATTTACCTCATTTTAAAGTGGCTGTTTGTGTTGTTACTTAACACGACAAAAAGCTAACGCATAAGCGTAAACTAGGTACAAGTCTTTTATTAACAATTGACATAATGAAAATACCATACATTTTAGTTCATTTTTTTTTAAAAAAAAGGACAAAGTGGGCCAGGTAAGAACCCTCCACCCATGTAATAACTTAACAACAAGGGAAAAGACAGGGTGAATATCACCAGACTTGTTATAGTCGAGAGAGGGGAAAAAAAGAAAGGAAATTCTTATTGGTTAAGCAGGATTTACAATGGAGATGGAGTGAGATATGTACAAGGAGCTGCTGATGATGTTACATTTTGACTGTTACAGCTGAATGAAGAGATTTGGATCAAACAAAACATTAGTGAGTGGAAAAGTAACAAAATGACTAAAGTTGTATGCCTCTGCCTGTCTGGATGCTAGAGGCTGAAAATGCAAAAGATACAGATCAGGCGTCACTCTCCCCAGCAGTGGCACTCTGGACTTCCTCTTCCAGAATGGGCACAATGAGGTTATCCTTAGACATTAGGTTGTACTTCATCACGAAACGAGTGAAGCGGTGACACAAGAAAGTCTCATTCTGTGGGAGAGAGTTGATACAATGTCAATCGGATGCCAATCTGAAACACCTTTTTAGGAAACTGCCTCCTACTGACCATAGCAGGAATTGTTGCTAGCATGAACAGAATTTGCTTTGTCATGAGCACTGTCATTATCATGCTTAGAGGCCATTACTTTAAATTAAAGTGAATGCTAAGACAGAAATCTCCTAAGTGACCAACTGGAAACATTCTTAATGAGCAGCAATTCCTGTTGTGGTGCAAAAACTTACAATTGCTCTGTTGAGCATAAAAACACAGCACACAAATATTGGGTTGCATGATTGAAGTATGTTTTCCTATTTTTCAAGAGGTTCAGTAGTGTGAAATGATGCAGAAATAGGCAGTGCAGTAGGTTTTGGAGCAGAGCTGATATTCTGTTTTATAAAATCTATGTGCTTATGAATAATAATAAAAAAAAGATTCTTGCTTACCTCATACTTGTCAAAAATCTGGCGGTGGTGAAAGTAAGCATGGGAGAAGATCCTATAGATGCGACGGCAAACCGAGCCCAGTTTGGCCACAGATGATTCCTTAATGCTGACGCTATATGGAAAGCAGTGAGAGGATCAGTGGCTACACAAACAAAACATCAATGGCTTGATTACAGCTAGAAAATCCTAGAAATTAACATAGTAATGCATGGATGCTCAAATCTGCTCATAGAGGACTTCCTACCTAGGTAGTTTAGATCCAGCCCTCACCTGAAACTAGTCAATTTAATTTGTATATAGCGCTTTTCACAATTCACATCGTTTCAGAGACGCAGAATTTACAGAAATTCATGAAGGTAATGTTCATAATACCAATGATTAATTGTCCACATTTTGCAGTTTAGAGCTGGGCGGTAGGATAATTTGCATATGATGATGATATAAAGAGATGAGATTTGCAATTCAGTATAAATCGTGTTATGTGAGTGTACTGCATGTATGCAGATACAGCTGGATATATTTTTAGTAATTGGAGCAAGCTGTTAATTCATTATGCATTGAAAGGTTTGAGCTCTGTAAATTTGTTTAATAATAGAAATTTGGTATTTCTATTACTATTTAGTGATGAGCATCACTGCCATGATTAAATGATGCATATAAATGACAGGTTTGAAGATATATCGCCCACCCCTAAGCAGAAAATAAATCAAGGTTTTGGGGTTGAATAAAAACTAATCCAGTGTGTTTGAGCAGTGCTGGAACTAAACCCTGCAGGAAGACAGATCTCTAGGAGGAACAGTGAAGACCCCTGCTTTAATAGATTAGATGTTCAATAACTCACCGGCTGGGAAAATACTTGTTGCTGTTGAGAAGACACGCCGCTCCATCGAGGGTGTGCCTTGTGTAGTCAATGGCAGGGCACTGTGAGCCACAGTAAACAAACAAATCAACATAAGACACAATCATCTATATTTTAGCTTCTCCAGCTCAAGTCGGTTCAGAAATTCATTAGGGCTAATCAATAATGAAAAAATAACCAACAACAAATGTACATTGATTAATCACATTCTGCTCACAAAAAAAATTAAATAAATAAAATATGGTATTTTAATCCGATTAATTGAATACCTAATCAACTGATTATTGTTAGTTGCAGCCCTAAAATTCATACATGTACATTTTAAGATGTTTTTTAAGATCATGGGAAACATAAATTCAGTCTTTCCAAACTGTTGACACAAAGGACACTCACCTCTTTGGGAGTCTTATGGGCAGCACACAGAAAGATCCACTGCTCAGTGGCCGTCATCTGGGTACATGTGTCCGGATGGCACTCATTCTATGGCGCAAAGTATTTAAGTATTTTAATATTAAAATATATAATATTAAGACAACTGTAAAGGCTGTCAACTAAAACAATCTGGTATGACAAGGAGACATACGTTAATTTTTAAATGAATAGTGCAGTACAGACTACTTGAGTTGTTTGTGAGATAACAGTAATAGTTGTAAGAAAGATAATTACCTGCAGTTTAACTGCCAAGCCATTGAGCTCCAAGCAGAACTGTCTATATATAAAAAGCACATGATATTTACATTTACACTATTCCCAGGGACACTGCAGCAAGCAACAAGTGTATGATAACATTTTGTGGACCCACTTTATATTAAATGTCTTTAACTATTATGTACTAACATCTAAATTACTCATTTGATACAGTGCACTTATTGTGTACATACATGTTTTTATGTTGTACAACATGTACTTTTATGTTGTAAAAAAAAATACCTGTATGTAATTACAGCTGTTTTCCTTTCCACATCAATAGCAGCATACTTGTGTTGCAATACAACATAAACAATAATTTTTGACGTACATAGTAGATAAAGACAATTAATATAAAGTAGGACCCATTTAGTCATCAAAAACAAATGGAAGTTTTAGAGATTAATCAAAGACTAATAATATACCTGAGATGTTCATATTTCCACACACCCTCATCTTGTCCCTCTGGGGGCTCCATAATCTTCTCTATGTTGGAACAATCTGAGCGGATGTTCTGCTGAATATACTGAAAAGGAAAAAAAAATACTGTGAATTACATTTTAAGGTCAGCAAGAAATGGAAGTTGCATGTCTTTTCTTCCCTATTGTGATGTACAGTCATGGTCATTGATGGCACCCCTGGTAAATATGATCAAAACTGGCTGTAAAAAATAAATCCGCATTGTTTATCCTTTTGATCTTTCATTAAAAAAATTGGCAAAATTCTAACCTTTCATTGAAGTAAAAGAATTGAAAGTGGGGGGGAAATCACATTATGAAATAAATTTTTTTCTCCAAAACACGTTGGCCACAATTATTGGCACCCTTTTATTAAATACTTTTTGCAATCTCCTTTTGCCAAGATAACAGCTCTAAGTCTTCTCCTATAATGCCTGATGAGTTTGGAGAACACCTGACAAGAGATCAGAGACCATTCCTCCATACAGAATCTCTCCAGATCCTTCAGATTCACAGATCCATGTTGGTGCTTCTTCTCTTCGGTTCAGCCCACTCATCAGGTCAGGGAACTGGGACGGTCATGGCAGAAGCTTCATTTTGTGCTCCGTAACTAATTTTTGTGTTGATTTTGATGTTTGTTTTGGATCGCTGTCCTGATGGAAGATCCAACCACGGCCCATTATAAGATTTCTAGCAGAAGGCGTCAGGTTTTGATTTTTTATCTGTTGATATATGATAGAATCCACAATGCCATGTATCTGAACAAGAAGTCCAGGACCTCCAGCAGAAAAATATGGCCACAACATTAAAGATCCAACAGTTTATTAAATTGTACACATGGGGTGCTTTTTATCCCTGTGTGCACCAAACCCATCTAGCGTGTTTGCTGCCAAAAAGCTCTATTTTTAGTTTCAACTGACCACAGAAGCCTGTCCCGTTTGAAGATCCAGCCGTGTCTGACAACTGAATTTGCTGGAGTTTGTTTTTGGATGAGCGAGGAGGATTTTTCTTGAAACCCTCCCAAACAACATGTGGTGATGTAGGGGTTGTTTGATTTTTATTTTATAGGCTTTGTGACCCCAAGACTCAACTAATCTCTGCAATTCTCCATCTGTGATCTTTGAAGAGTCTTTGGCCACTCAAACTTTCCACCTCACCGTCCATTAAGAAGACAATATAGACACACGTCCTCTTCCTGGCAGATTCCTAACATCTTTAGTTAATTGAAACTTCTTAATTATTGCCCTTATGATCAAAATGGGGATTTTCAATTCTTTAGCTATTTTCTTACAGCCACTTTCTATTTTGTGATGGTCAACAATCTTTTGATGCACATCAGATTCAGAACTATATTCTTTGGTTTTACTCATTGTGATGGATGATTAAGGGAATTTGGCATTTGTGTTTCCTTATATTTAAACTCATGTGAAACAAGAAGTCATGGCTGGACAATTTCATGTTCCTAGTCACCCTGGTGTGCTAAAAAAAAAGGTAAATATTAATGGGAATATCCTTCAGAGATATTTTACTCGTAAAAATATTCTAGGGGTGCCTATAATTGTGGCCAACGTGTTTTGGAGAAAATTTTTTTATTTCATAATGTGATTTCCCCCCCACTTTCAATTCTTTTACTTCAATGAAAGGTTAGAATTTTGCCAATTTTTTTAATGAAAGATCAAAAGGATAAACAATGCAGATTTATTTTTTAGAGCTAGTTTTGGTCATATTTACCAAGGGTGCCATCAATTCTGACCATGACTGTATATGAGTAAACAGCTTCTTGAACAAGAAGAAATGTAGGGCGGAACTTGATTTTGTCCGTTGGGAATTGATTGTATTGTTGTGGTATGTTATTGCTGCAATCTCATGTGAGTGACAGGTTGTCCCGCCCTCACACCAGTTCCTCGTGTAAAATTACTGTACTGCTTAAAAAGACTTATAGAACAAGAATATAGTACACACATAGTGACAACTTTTACAGTGTTTTTTTTAGAGCTTGACAGCCTGGGTTGAAATCAGCACCTCTCAATAATATTATTTTGTGATCCACTCAAGTAAGAAAAGCTCTCACCTGTTGCACTGCCAGGGTGCTGTCCATCTCTTCAAAAGACTCATCAGACCAGTTATAGAAGTCCTAAGGATTAAAACAAAACACCCGTTTTAAAAACACGTTAATAGGGCTGGCACTAGAATAATCAACACAACTGTATTAATTGCTGTTGACAGAACATCTTTGATAGATATACACTTCAAGGGACTTTTAGACAATTTACTACAATTCTTACGTTTTAACCATAATCTTTATATCTATACTAAATCCGTGGTAAAATGTCCCACTGGTTTTGTCAATTGCATGAAGTATTAGTGACTCAATGCAGCATTGCAGAGCAGCTGGACGCTTCATGACTCGGCTATATAATGTTATATTAACTTAATTGTGTTTTATATACAATAATTTAATGTATAAACATTACCAGTTGTGTGCATCCGGGTACTTTCAAATGGCTGCTGCTAAGTTAGCTGACTGCTGTTAGCCAAATAACTAACGTTAGATCATGAAAACCTGCTATTTCTGAAACATTCTAACTCCTATTTCACAGCATATTCGCCTACTTACAAAAGAGAAAATAAAATCCTATTATGACCAGATGAATTTAACAGAATATTCAGGTAAAACCCTTCAATTGAGAATCATTGGTCTTCACGGTTAACTGATAGCTTAGCTCTTTAGCATATCTGCGGCTTCCGCTCCCACGAAAACAAATCATTTTTATTTTATTATTACATTGCAATATACCTTGCGAACTCATTTGAGCTTGAAAAACGATTTAAATTGTTATTCGTTGTTCATTTTACCTTCGCCTTGGTGCCTGGTCTATTCCTCCTCAGAACAGCTGTGCCCTCCGCCATGACCATCTCGACAGATTTAGAGTTTGATTGACAGCGCGCTCCCCCAATGGACGAGTAGAGCTACTACAGGAAGAGCTCAGATTCAGTGACCCCAACAAATATTGGACAAAATGCATGTTATTGCATTGCATCTCCAAAAAGTTGTAATTATTTTAAAACATTTCTAGTATTCTAATCCTTTCCGATGAGAAGACCATTATGCACTGATACTCTCGGGGTTTAACTGACCTGGGGCCAGTTGTACTAACACAGCCATCATGTCTTAAGAGTTAGTCGTCTGACCAACTAGAAGTTAACCAATGGACATTTCATTCTCAAATTTGACCAATGAATTAAAAATGATGTTGAAAAATGTCTTGAAAAAATTAATGACTAAATTGTAATAAGCGGTTTATGAAACTGGCCCCAGTGGGGAAACTCTAGAGTCTAGGTGGCATCTCATATGACTTTTACTCCTTCCATCTAGCAAGTCCACAAAGACCTGACTAATAGAGTAGCCTACTGTACGCATTATTATCCCTTATGTTCTCACTTTAAATGACTCAAAGCCCTTCTTATGAAATGAAAAGCATTGTGTCCATTCATATTTATTTTGCTGAATGTTTTGATGGTTTTCCTTAATTATAGCCTATGTAAACGTAACTTACTAGGGTACACTACTTTTTTACACAACAATACTATCTTTTTTAGATCTATTCATCAACACTATATTTGTACTTAGCTACTGATTATTGTATATTATGTCAAATAAGAAAAAGCCATTCTTCAGATTTCAATCATTTTTAATGAACAAAAATGTAATGTCAGTTGAAAAAACACATTTTATATAATGAATTATAGTGATTAAAGTCTAGGAGTCTGATTACTTTCAGAAGGCACTGTACAATAATTATGTTAGTTATACCTTCTGATCACATCCTGCAGCACATATTCATAATTGAAAGGAAATTATTAGGCAGATAAAAGATATTCAGTAAAACAAATTAATTTCCAAACCCTAGCATTAGCAATTCACTAGTTACTTTATCATCATAGTCCAAACTCCATCTGACTTCATTATAAACTTGTACAAAGTTAAGAATTAAAGAACATAATTAACATTTGACCAAACTCAAAAATGGACTGTTCATGAATATGGACTATGAAGTCATTGGAATTCATATTTTGTTTCCTAATACACACAATTTAGACATTCCTTTCACATAATCAATTCCAAACTGTTCTGTTACATGAAGAAGCAAAGACGAAACATCAAGATCACTTTATTTGAACAAAACATGATCATACTTATTTACAATCAAATGACATAGAAAAAAAGAAAACAAACATTGAACAGCCATTCTTTCTACAAACTCCAGAATGACGCAGATGGTTGAACAAGCAGACTTCATTCTACATATTTGCCAAGAATATCTCCATCCCGGAAAAGGAAGTAGTCCTACAAAAGAAAAGAAAATGGCAATTGTAAAATCAAGTTACTTTTATGCAAATTATAATTTAGTTAATAAGAAATACATAACGAGAAAATTAAAAACAAATCAATCTAATCATGGCAAATGTTCTAACCTTTTCCTCAAGTACAATTTTAGTTCCTCCGTACTCAGGCAGCAAAACTTTATCCCCAACATTGACACAGACAGGTGTTACTTTCCCATCCTGAAAGACAGACATTTAAACTCTGAAGTACAACCTATAGATCTCACACAGATGTTTCAATCAGATCATAAAACATGATTAACTTTGATTAGGTTACCTTGTTGGTGAATCCTGGACCCACTGCTACCACTGTAGCCTGTTGCACTTTGGCTTGAGACTTTTCTGGAATCATGATGCCTCCTCTTGAAACGGTCTCTGCAGCAAGCCGTTCCACCAACACACGGTCGAACATGGGAAGGAATTTCCGGAAAGCCTGCTGTGGGGCAAAGAAATGCTTAGTGCAGTGTAGAAATAGTCAATCCATGTTTTGCAACACTGTAAAAGCAGCGTTCCAAAAAAAAAAAAAACACCAGGGGGCGTTACAGACCAGCTAAGCGAAAATCAATTGTTTTAAAGTCTTTTCCTTTCCTTCTCCTATGAGTTCTTCTTTTCGGTTATAATAAAATCTTCGATTGACCTTCTTTAAAAGACCAATTTTAGGCTACTAAATTAGACGCATACTTCAAGCAGACAACTTGGAGAAAAAATATTTACCATCACCCTGTACACAGTTTCAAAGACACAAGCTGCTGCTAGTCTGAGAACAGATGTGTGTGTTTGACCTTGAGAGAAGGTCGTGTATGGAGGAGGGTAGATGAAATTTAGGAGATGTTGAGGGTTCATGTAGGGGAGGAGAAAAATTTGGAGGTTTTGTAAATGTTTACCATACTGGTGAAGGACGAAAGGACAGGCAACAAGATAACCCCCCCAAGGCTGAACAGTTAGGAATGTAGAAGATTCATTCTAGAATGAATCAGCTGTGCATTTTACCTTACCTTATAACACATTTGTGATGAATTACAATGTAATTCATAATTCAAGTTACAAGTGAAGTTTCCTATCGTCTGGTTGGTAGCCAATGAAGTATGCGCATACTTTACTACGCTATGGCAGTTTATCACAAGGGTTAATAGACACAGATAACAGTCAGTCCTACTTAAGAGAATACTTCATCTAACTTATATGCCTCAAAATAACTAAAGACAAAAGCACAACAGTTACTGTACATGACAAATCACACGTGTTCACTCCATTCAAAATGACCCGGAAGTTCATATCTTGCTGAAATGCTATTGGTTGAAATGATCTTGGAGCTTAGCTGAACGTGAAAACCCGATTCACGTTATCTAGTTATGATAATGGCAATATGTTCAGTTTTCACAAGCAAGATGTGACAGATTCCTGCAAACAAATATACTTTATACGCGTGAACAGATATTCTCATACTATAAAGACTGTCATATGAAATTTTAAGCAGTAAAATAATTATACCACCTTTTATACAATACTATACTAAGAGGTTAAACTTGTCTAAAAAAACAGCCATAATTTAGCATTTCATGAAACAAACCGGTTTACCTGCGTAAATCACTAATCATGATGACAGAAAATCACGCATTTTAAACATTTCTCCCATAGTTTACATGTACTAAGTAACATACTTAGCATCACATCATTGTCTCATATAAAGTCAGAGCATGACTACATTACTAACCGTGACCTTGCAGTTGCAATTGATGGGAAGATTATAAAACATTGCGCGATCTCATTCACAAAGATCAAATCATTATTGAAACAACTCATTCAGATGATGCAGCTAGATGAATTATTTTACGCTTCTTACCATTTTCGTTGATCTTTATGAAATGAGCGTGCGGCAGAGCAGGATAAGACAGTCACACTGGATCACTTCACTGTTCACTCCTGCGATCCACGTGAAGAAGAAATGTCTGGAAGGCCACTGCGCATGCGCCAAAAGACAATCCTTACCGACCCCGTCCTGCAATCTAGAATATTCCTCGATCGCCTAAACGTTGCACAAAGACTTTTCAATATATATTTATTTTTTTGTGTAATTTCTATTCTAAAAAGACGACAAGTGGATTACAAATAACCAAAGAAATAGTAAAAACCAAAATAAAGGTTGTGAATGGTAAAAGTGGCAATATAATAAAATAAACAATAATTAACACTGATAATTATATAATACAAAATACAAATATATTATAAAACTAGTAACAAATCCATAGACATTTGTAAAACGCAATAAAATCGGTGGTTGCACAACCATGACCTCTGACGTCTTTTTTTCTCCAATGGAATCAGCGAAATTTCTCGAACTTGAAACCCAGGATCGAGCATAATAACAATTTAATGGCCAATTTTAGTATAATTTATTTATATTTTCCCTCAGTATCAATAAAATGTGTTCAGTGTCATTGAGGCAAAAAGCAAATGAAAGGACGTATGTATTTAAAGAGAATAATCGTGTATTGAATGAGAGTATTGTCAAAGCCCCTCTACGGACATTCTCTGGTATTGTGTTATTCAGATGTCAGGGCGGCGGGGACGTTACCCGGATGAAGAACACATGTGCTTTAAGTGTAACTGCAGCAAATCTAAAGCAAGCGGCTCCTCATCTTAGATCATTCAGTCTGCTGTACTGACGGTCACGAGCATCCCTTCATTCACCTCCAGACCACTCTGCAGTAAGTCATTTAGACAATTATCCACCTCTATAAAAGCGTATGAACATACTATATTGCATAATGATTTTTACAGGCCTGGTAATAAGTTATTGAGATCAAACAGGCAGATACGTAACACCATCATGTAACGTTAATGCTGGAACTGTCAGTTTGTTTCTTGGATTTGAAAATAACATCGTGCATGTTTATTGACTAGTTAGCTGTCATTTAGTCATATTTAAGTACATTTATACGTTATTGTAGATGCTGCTTATCAGAATTAGACTAACAAACGTGTTTCGTGTAACATATGCAGTGCTTAACCATTATAGTGCATTAGTGATATATCTGCTGCATTGACTAACGTTACTGTTTTATAAGCAAAATACGGTAAGTAAAGCGCAGTCTTACGTGAAATATAGTGATGATTATAGCTCGCATGCTAACTATAGCAAATTCTATGAAACTGAGGCCTAAGATTATTATATGTATGTAATAATTAATCGGTGTCAGGGTAAACATGTATAGTTTTAATAAAACAAAAGGAATACCCCGGGAAGTAACGTGAACTCATGGAGATGAAAGGGATCATTTCCGTCTCTGTCGTGACGCGGAGTGATTTTGACCTTGTGACGGACGCCCTGAACACACGTGGGGTAGACGAGGGACTCTGCATCTACACGTTTACGTGAACACACTTTTCAGTTTAGTTGACCTTTTAGCCCTGCGGTTTAAAACCTTTTGTCCTTTTTTTATTTTTAATTTTTTTTTTTTATCTGTTTTTTCCCCCCGAAATATTATCCATGAGAACCATGAAATTGTGATTATCTCCTCACATTTACTAGATCAATATTAAAACATTTTACGGAATGTTTTGATGTTAAGGAGGACATTAAGTATAAAGAGAGTAGGTTAACGAATGAATGAATCAGGCAGTGTAATCCATTCAAGGACCAGCGGGGGCAAAGTCTAATTTTTGGAATCTGGGGTGGTTATCATGTGACCTCGACAATAGACTAATTTTTGTATCTGGTTTAAAAAAAAAAAGTATTTTCTTAGAAATTAATGCCATGTATTAATGACTTTACTGCCGTACAGATATCACTAAAATTCCTATGACAAATTACATTAGTCTGTGACTAGGCTATGTAAATCAAAAAGAAACCTGAGTGGCTGCTGTCTGTGGCTATTTGCCAATCAGAAACGTCTGTCTACCACCCTCAACCAATACCGTGAATTTTGGGGCGGGGCTACCTGTTTGTTTAAATGAATGGTTCTTCTCAACCAGGGGGCCGAGGCAAACTTCCAAAGGTGACTAACAAAGACAAAACAACTAAAAATCCACATTTCATATTTTAATTTATTTTTTAGTTTTTGAAGAACCAGTATTTCCAGGGTGTTGTAAAACCTGGATACGCGAGGAAGCCTCATTCTGAAAGTGTGATTTCTAGACTTGGAAAAGTCATGTAAATGAACTAAATCTATTTTTATAAAGAATTGCCAAGATTTTGTGGGCATTTTTAAAGAATATTCATTTAGTTTAGTTATGCCAAGCTCTAAAATATTTTATCAAGTAGAAATTGTGAATAAAAATATTTTTAAAAATCATTATCCTTATCCAATAAATTACAAACAACCGGAAAAGGGGACAATGGGGGGCCTTTGAGCCAAAAAAGTTAATAATCACTACTCTTCTGAGAACAATTTTTTTTTTTTACTAATACTTTAATGGTGTAGAAAAAAATCACTTGCACCCTTTTTTTTTTATATCGAATGTTATGCTTCTGGTCTTTCTCTTTCAGAAATGCTACGTTTACCTAGTGTAATGAAACAGATGAGGCCAGTGTGCAGGGCGCTGGCCCCACACCTGACTCGTGCGTATGCCAAGGACGTCAAGTTTGGGGCAGATGCCCGGGCCCTTATGCTTCAGGGCGTTGACCTTTTGGCTGATGCTGTGGCTGTCACCATGGGACCAAAGGTATGCTTAGTTTGACAAGTTTCTAGAGGAACAGCAGACATGTTATTGCTCTTAAAGGAATAGTTCACCCAAAAATGAAATTTGTCATTAATTCCTCACCCTCATGTCGTTCCAAAGCCGCAAGACTTTCGTTCATCTTCAGAACACAAAGGAAAATCTTTTCTGACAGAGGGACAGAAAGCTCTCAGATTTCATCAAAAAGATCTTCATTTGTGTTCCAAAGATGAACGAAAGTCTTGTGGCTTTGGAACGACATGAGGCTTTTTTGGGTGAACTAACCCTTTAAAGCCAAGTTTGTAATCATTAATGAAAGAAACACAACTAGATTGTCCTCTTTCCCTCAGGGTCGCACTGTTATCATTGAGCAGAGCTGGGGAAGCCCCAAAGTCACCAAAGATGGTGTCACGGTTGCTAAAAGTATCGACCTGAAAGATAGGTATAAGAACATCGGGGCCAGGCTGGTACAGGACGTGGCCAACAACACTAATGAGGAGGCTGGTGACGGCACTACAACCGCCACAGTACTGGCACGTGCTATTGCCAAGGAGGGATTTGACACCATCAGCAAAGGCGCCAACCCTGTGGAGATCCGTAGAGGAGTCATGATGGCAGTGGAAGAAATCATCAATGAACTCAAGAAACTCTCCAAGCCAGTCACAACACCAGAGGAAATTGCTCAGGTAAAAAGTGGTCTTAAATTCGACATGAAATCGAAGTTGCGGTAGTCTTTTCTTCCCAATTGTAATGTATGTCCAAGTGGAAACTTCTCGAACAAGAGAAAAATTAGGGCGGGACTTCAGGGAATTGATTGGATTGTTGTGGTTTGCTATTGCTGTGATCTCATGTGAGTGACAAGTTGTCCTACCCTTGCGTCAGTGAACACATCAGAAAAGAGATGTAGTTGCACGAGGAAGGGGGAAGTTATTTTGATTAAAGCACGTGAATTTAAAAAAAATCATTTATAATAAATATGGCAATATATAATAAGAATGGTCAGTATAGATTTCATGGTGACCTTAACCTTAAATACTAAATGTGGTCAGAATTTTTTTTACCTTTTTGTTTTATTTTTTATTTTCGTCAATCTTTTTTTGATACAGGTGGCCACTATTTCTGCCAATGGAGACATTGAAGTTGGTAACATCATCTCCAATGCCATGAAGAAAGTTGGACGCAAGGGTGTTATTACAGTGAAGGTAGGCTGCTATAGTGAAAGTAGTATTTAGTACAGATGGGATGATGGTTTGGTCCTTAAAACATCTCAGACTCAAACTATTATTCTTGTTTAAAGGATGGTAAAACTTTACATGACGAGCTTGAGATCATTGAGGGCATGAAGTTTGATCGTGGCTACATTTCTCCCTACTTCATCAACACTGCTAAAGGTGCGTATTTGGTATCGGAAGGTCATGTGTATGTACCAGTATTAAGGCTGGAATGACAACAGCGTTCATTCTCTGCTTCCAGGCCAGAAGTGTGAGTTCCAGGATGCGTACGTGCTTCTGAGTGAGAAGAAGATCTCCAGCGTACAGAGCATCGTACCAGCTCTGGAAATTGCCAACCAGCATCGCAAGCCTCTGGTCATCGTGGCGGAAGATGTGGATGGAGAAGCACTCAGCACTCTGGTCCTCAACAGGTTTGTTTCTCAAACATAAATAACATCAAGTCCACAAGAAATGTGTGAAAGGGATAAATATGAAAGAGAACGAGGTAATTTTGATTGCAATACCACGTTAATTGTAATTAATACAATTGTAGTTAATTGTTTTTCATAAAAATACTATTGTTGTTTAATTATGGAATCTTCTTTAAACAGTTTTTTTTAGAATCTTTGACATTATTATAAATATAAAATTTATTGTTCCATTAATTTTTTAATGACTTTGGCTTCAAACAAAAGTCCATGACTGATTTTGATTGTCATCCCTAACAAAAGTTGTTGAATAAATAAAATGTATATATATAAAAAAGTTCTTAAATGTTTTCCAAATGGTTTTGAAATTATTACATGTATTAAAACCATTATTTTTAATAGATGACAGAATTATTAACAAAATACTATTACTAATTTTATAAAATATTTATTATACTTTTAATGACTTTGACTAATACTACTATACATTTCCATATATATAATTAAAAATGTAACCACTGTAGTAATAGTATTTTGGTCGAAAACTATTTTCTTTTTTTAAAGGTGCCCTAGAATGTGAAATTGAATTTATTTTGGCATAGTTAAGTAACAAGAGTTCAGTACATGGACATGGCATACAGTGAGTCTCAAACACCATTGTTTTCTCCTTCTTACTTAAATCTCGTTTTTGAAAAACACCCCTGAAAAATAGGCGAATCTCCACATAACACTGTGACGCAACAGTCGGGATCATTAATATGTACGACTCCAAGAATTTGCATATATGCCAGCCCATGTTCAATGCCAGGCGGAACTGCGCAGCCGAAGCATAGCAGTTGCTCAGTGTTTGGATGTACACAGGATCACAAAAGTATTTTTTAGTTCCTTCATCCGAGCCTCTGAAGAAACATGGGTTAATTTTATTTTCTCTGGAAATTTCCAAACATTTCACCGACGACTGTTTCCTCAACTTGGGCCAATACAGAGCTGGCCTCGGATCGAGCTACCAAGCAACACTTTCTGATGTGTAATTGTTCAAGTTCAGACAGGTATTCTCTCAAAATCGTTCAATACTGTTTATGCATCAGTAAGTCAAGCCAGTGACTAAAATATCAACTTCATTTAGTAGGATGAAAAAAAACTTATTTAAATTGTGAATAAATTATATACAGAAAGCGATCAAAGAACAATCTTTCCACAGCGCGAGTTTATCTGGACACTTGCCAAACTCGTTATGAATTCAATGACGCACGTTACACTGCACAACGAAGCTCTTACTGTATGTACATCATCGTGTTTGCATTGGTGAAAGCATTAGAGAGAGTGCAGAAACGGCGTTGCAGTGTTAAGATCTTCAGTTTTGCGATCAACAGACCAGAGTTTCCGCTAGAAAAAAATGGTGCCGGTCAAAGTGACCGGCAGAGGTTTCGTTTAACGGACATTTTGATGATATGCCGGTCAAATATCGCCTCTTAATTAGTCAAGTTGAGGAAAACTGGAGGCAGGCTATGTACCTTAAAAAATGACATAATCAGGCCGTATAGAATGCAACATGTTATTATTAGCCTAACTTTCAAATAGACGGAAAAAAACATGAAAGTCCGATTGGCGTCAATCAACACCAATTGTTTTTTACTATGGTTTCACACACATTCACTTTTTGAAACATTGAGGCACGGATGTACCTAATACAAATAAATAAAACATCTCCAGTTAACTAGCAGATCATTCATTTAGTTCGCTATTAAATAAGAGATCTAGCGCTAAAATCAGTTGTTTTTTAAATCAAGCTGAGCGCTCGTGTCCGCTGCTATCAGTTGCATGGACGACGCGCTGCACGAATTGCGCAATCTTCACTCGGACGCGCGTTTCAATCTATCGCCGTTGCGCACAGGCGAATAGAGCAGCACACAATATATACAAAACGAAATAAACTTTAAAGAAAGGCTTTCTACAAAACAAAACTTAATAAGTGGTCAAAATCTGACCCATTCCAAATGTTTTCCGATATATTGGTCATCTTATGATCCTATCTTACTCATCTCATGCGGTTCTCTTTTCATATAATCAACATAGATGAAATAAAAAAATAATAACATTATATTATTTATAAATATGAAACGTATGTTTAAGTTTTTTAACTTATAATAAGCGTCACACCGCTCCGCTTTGCTCACATGCTCTGGTGTGTAGCCATGTGTGCGTGCATGTGGTGGAGATGGGTGCGATTTTCGAATAATAATCAACCCAGCGATCTTCGAATATTATTTTTGCTTGAAAATTTCGTTTTGTATAAATTGTATCTTAATTTTAATCAATGTTTCATCAAATTTGCCTGGATCAGTAAATAAGAAGCAAATATAGTGGACAATATAATCAGGACGGAGTCGCCGGCGCGTGCACACTTCTCTCTAGAGGCGCGTTCACTAGCCTACTGCGAAGATGGCGAGTCTGCATCGTCAACTTTATCAATTTATCAATAATTCAAATGTTTCATGCATAGGCCTAATCATTACTTTCGCCGGTTTTGTGTCAAGCTTTATTTCAGGTGTTGCGTGATATCTCTGCGCCCAAGTATCAGTGCTTCCTTTAAGGCTAGCCTGCCTGGGCCTGGCCATATCTGAAACGTCTCACTCAATCGTTCGTTGTTTAGGTCTATATTACAGCCGTTTTAGGCGTGCGCTTTAATTGCAGCGCGATGTTGTTTAATATAACTTTCAAACGGTAGAGGCTGTTCCTTTATAACATAGCCATAAGTCGGTGTATTTTTGCTTGATACATTTTAGGCTTATTCTCAAATAAATTCATATTGTGTTAGGGGGGCGGGATTATTACGCAATTTTAATCGGACAATTTGACCGGAGAAATTTAATTTTGTCGGACATTTCATTTTTTTCCCGGCCAATGTCCGGTAATTACCGGACAACGGAAACCCTGCAACAGACTGTGATCTGCTTGCTCAATGCTCAGTCATCACGGCAACATTGTATGTGATGGGAATAGATCTAAATACTTTAAAAACATCTCACGATTCGTTAATCTCGATAGCTGTAATAGTAAAAACGTATAATAGCTGTAGTAAAATTATTCGAGAGAGTTTCACATGTAATACATAGCTATTTCATATGCAAGCATGTCAGCCAATCACAGCAGAGGCCGGTTACACACAGCAGACACACCCCTTCAATTCAAACAGAGCGTTCAAATCAGAGGCTAAAATCAGGCTAGGAAAAATGCCTTTTATTTCTAAATTATGACTATTTTTTTATCTAAAAAACATACTAACATTATAAGGGCAACCCAGGAAACATTATAAAATAATTAAAAACATTCTAGGGCACCTTTAAGGGTTGGTCAATTTGATGTTTACGAATAGCCTGTTATTTAAAGGTTCTGGGTTAAAAGTCAATGCTAAATCTCACCAACAGGTTGAAGGTTGGACTTCAGGTCGTGGCAGTCAAGGCTCCAGGATTCGGGGATAACCGGAAGAACCAGCTGCAGGATATGGCAGTTTCCACTGGAGGCACGGTATGTACTTGTCTTCCTCTGTATTCATGATTTTAAATGAACTCATTTAAAATGTCTTACTTATGTGATGCATCAACATATTGAATTGTGACGTGTAACATATCATGAGGTATTTGCCATTGCCCAGTCTTTTAACACCCCTGAACTTTTTTTAGGTGTTTGGTGATGAAGCTATGGGTCTGGCCATTGAGGATATCCAGTTACATGACTTTGGCAAGGTCGGCGAGGTCATCGTGACAAAGGATGACACGATGCTCCTCAAAGGCCGCGGTGATCCATCAGCCATTGAGAAGCGTGCGAATGAGATTGCTGAACAGCTGGACAGCACAAGCAGTGACTACGAGAAGGAGAAACTCAACGAGCGTCTGGCCAAGCTCTCTGATGGAGTGGCTGTGATTAAGGTATGAAAGCAGGAAGCATGTAGCTTAGTGTAATGCATTTATCTGCCATCATCCTGATTAAAAATCACTATTCTCTTTGTTAGGTTGGTGGAACAAGTGACGTCGAAGTAAATGAGAAGAAAGACCGTGTCACTGATGCGCTGAATGCCACTCGAGCTGCTGTGGAAGAGGGAATCGTTCCTGGAGGAGGATGCGCCCTGCTCCGCTGCATCCCAGCCCTGGAGAACATCAAGCCAGCCAATTCTGATCAGAAAATTGGTAAGGACGGGAGATCTCATCCTCAGTCCAGACCCTAAAAGAAATAACCCTGTGTTAACTTCTTAAAACTGACTTTTTTCTTTTTGCTTGTTCTTCCAGGTATTGACATTATTCGCAGAGCTCTTCGTATTCCCGCAATGACCATTGCCAAGAATGCAGGAGTTGAAGGCTCTCTGGTGGTGGAAAAGATCTTGCAGAGCTCTCCAGAGATTGGATATGATGCTATGCTTGGAGAATATGTCAATATGGTCGAAAGAGGCATTATCGACCCCACAAAGGTGTGTATGTGTGGTTCACAAACATAGATGTCACTGATTTAAACAGATAACTTATATCAAAGTGGCTTTTAAATGAAGTCCCCCTGTATTCAATAATTGTATTGCCTAAAACTCCTCTTTGATCGCCAAAATGACAAAAAAATTATTCATGCCTTAAAATAGTTTGAATGTAACTCTACACCCTTGCAGGGCTGCCAACTCTCACGCATTGGCCGTGAGACACACGCATTTGATTGGTTTCACACGCTCACACGCCACACTTCCGATTTCTCCAGGGTTCCCGCGGATCCTTAAAAATTTTTAAAATTTAAGACCATAAAAAGTCTTATAAAGTCTTATTTTTACTTATGAAAGGTCTTAAATTTTAGATGACACTTTGACTTAAACATATCTAAAAGCTTTCCAAATTAAAACTATCTAATTAGCGTACGTATTTTTATTTATTATTCTATCTTTGTCGATTTGCTAATTCACGTGACATTTCGCGTCACTCGCGAGTCGCGGGCAGCATAACTGTCTCCTGCACGCGAGAGGAGAGAAGAAGAAAGGTCGTAAATGTCAGTTCAGTTGTAAGTTCATTCTTTATGTGCGTATGGTGTGCGATGTGTATTGTCTATTATGATATTGTAATCATTGTTTTAACAATGTACGAGGCACTGCGAGCTGACATCGCATTTGTCTCGTGCTTTCACTGCGTGATGTGTGCAGTGTAACTGTTATGTCCCCAAATTAGTTTTTGTCTTATATTTATATCATATTATGTTCTTATATTAGAATATCACATCAGAAAGAGTGCCGTTTTCCCGTGCACAATTCCAAGTGTGATATTTATGTTATACAAAAGTTAAATTAACAATAAGTTAACATTGAGTTACTTTTTAGACACAATATTGTCAATATTGTTTGTTTTCCCTTTATTTCGCCGACTATAATTTCAAAATGAAACCGTAGCAGAGTCTCAATGCAACCGACAGCGATGATTTCTTGACTGAAATCCGCGTTTTGAACAAATCACTTGCTTCTTTCCCGAATGAATCAGCCGTTTGAACGAATCGGTTGAATGAATGACTCCCTCAACTCACTTACTCACAACAGTGATTTGCCGCTGCGGTTTCATATTTAAAGTACCCTTTAAATAAAATGTTAAAATTAGAAATCATTTCATATTTAAATATTGAATATTGATTTAAAAATAGGCTATATATCTCATAGCTTTATTTATGCAGTTGTAAATGGAGTGTAAATATATTAATGCCACTTCTGATGCCGCTTCTGTCACCTCTGCACTGCAAAGATGGATTTTGATTGAATGATTTAATTTGACTGGTAACAGTGGTACTGTATGATTATTATATAATTAAGTATTATTGTATAATTACTGTATAATTTAATTTGAATGATAGTATTTGACATTAAAGGTGATGCATAACTCTAAATAAGTTTAGAAAAAATGTCCATATATAGGTGAAAATGCCCCTGAAAAAATCAATTTAAGGTGGCAAATATTGCCCCTTAATTAAAATATTAATTTCTGTCACTGCTGTGAACTGACCACTGCATAGAATATGAAAAATATGAATATCTTCGTGAGTCAGCTGTCAACAACAGACCTAAACCAGCCATGGCACCAGCACAAAAACACAATCAGGAAAATATCATCTAATTATTATCAACAAAACGTTGAAAATATCAAGATATATTTTTGTCAATACTGCACAGCCCTAATGTACGGTATTAATTTTGATTTCTTAAGGTCTTAAAAAGGTCTTAAAAAGCCTTAAATTTGACTTTCAAAAGTGTGCAGGAACCCTGTTCTCACGCTGAAGTGTCAACCCGGTCGGTCAAATGCCTGAAAGATGAGTTTATCTATAGATCTACCTGTTGAGCCACTCGTGATCGACTAATTATACCGCAAAATAGTTAAAATCTCCCGTAATCTAGAGCGAGCGCGCACGCGAGACAGAGATTGTGCTTCAAACCGCGTAGCGTGCGCGCGCAACCTTGCGTGTGCAGAGACGCCCCCCGTTGGACAATGCCCTTAAGAAACACTTTAAACAACTTAGAACGTCAGTGGAGAAAGGCATATACTTCATCATATCATTGTAATATACATAATTCACCCACTGTATAGCTAAATGTACCTGATTTTTCATATCAACTGAAAAATATACCGGGATAACCTGGCTTCTCTTGAGACTCCCTTGCTTCGCAGCATAGTTAATGATATGCTAAAGCCTGCACACACACACTGATGTGATTGGTTACAAGGTAGTTTGTGACGTAAGAAACACCAGCGATTTCAATCCGTGTTTTTGAGACTGTCTTTAGTTTCACTGTAGTTTTAAGGAGAAAAAACTCTGCAATGGTGTTGACTTATGAATTTGCACATGGTTTGTCTTAAAGCATATTAAAAACACCACATAATCAAGTTTTTAATGTTGTTTATGTCTTTCACCTCAGGGGTCTAATATATCATTACCATATTGGCTGACATTATATACACTACCATTAAAACGTTTGGGGTCAATCAAAAAGAAAAGTGTGTTTTTGAAAGTGTGTTATGCTCACCCATGACCCATGCTGCATTTATTTGATCAAAATGTAGTAAAAACAGTATTATTGTGTATATTACAATTTAATATAAAGGTGTTCTATTTAAATGTGTTTTAAAATGTAATTTATTCCTGTGATGGAAAAGCTGCATTTTCAGCATCATTACTAGTCTTCAGTGTCACATGATCCTTCAGAAATCTTTCTAATGTGGTGATTTTTTTTTGTTTGTTTTTTTGTCCTTGCTCTGAATGTATTCATTAAAATAATAATAATCACTGACGCTACATTTTTATATATTTTATTGTGATGCCCATTGCCCAATACATTTTAATGTATTGCCTAAATTCATTTGTAGCATTTAAACTGATTAATTTAATTTAGACAAAATGGTATTGAATTTTTATATTTTCCATTTACCAGTTATTTGCTATAACATGAAAATTGGCTTATTAGTATCTGCCAGAATTGTAATATCTGTGCATCCCTAACAAAAACATAATGCTCTTTTATTAAAATTAAATTTGTCTCCCCCTGCAGGTTGTGAGGACGGCACTGCTAGACGCCGCAGGTGTTGCGTCTCTGCTGTCGACTGCTGAAGCCGTTGTCACCGAGCTACCGAAGGAGAAAGAAGACATGCCGGCTGGAGGAATGGGAGGAATGGGTGGAATGGGTGGCATGGGAGGTATGGGATTTTAAACCGATTTGCACTGACTTTAGTGGAAGGGTTGTGGGCAGGGGACATGATTTGCCCCTCCCCTTCTACTTGGAAAAACCTGCCGAAACTGAGTGCTAGTGGTCTGAACATGGAGCAAAAGAAATGGACGTTACAGTCTCCCATCCTTCCACCACTGTCCGATCTTATCTTTACTCATGGCTGAAGACATCACCCTACTTCTTTAATGACAAGTTCCTGATGATGTGACCAGGGATAATGAGTCTGTTCGCCTTTGTTCTGTAACATTGTGCTCACTAATGTCTAATGGGAAAGTGCATTTAACAAATTGCATATTGTCATGCTGTTGTATCATGTGATATATAGCTGGTTCTGAATCAGACCATCTGTAGGGGCGTTATGGTTAAAGTCTGCCTTCATGCGCAAGAAAGTAGTTGAAAGTTTGACCAGTTGTATCTTTAAAAAAAAAAAAAAAATCACTTCATCGAACAGTTCGTTGTTGTTTTTTTTTGTACATGGTTCATTTGTTTCATATAAAAATAAAACCCTCATTTGAGGATAACTCTGACAAAGCATGTACTTGTTTTGGCTTTCAGTTAGTTTTTCCCACTGAACGGAAATACTTGGATATCAGCTTGCAGAATTGTTTGCTAATGTTTCTTTTTTTCTGGTTTAATATCTAAAAATGATAGTTCACCCTAAAATGAAAACTGTCATTTTTTCTCCATGTTCCAAACCTGTTTTTTCTTCTGTGAAACAGTTAATACTTTGAATATCAATGGGCTCAAAAAAAAGTATATATATATACAATTAAAAAAAATTGTGTTATGACAGAATATTATTTGTGGGTGAACTAATCTTTTAAAATCTGAGCATTAAACATCTTTTGGTCAATACTAGAGTTTGTGAGGAAGGTTAAGTGGAGGGATGGGTGAACTTGTTGCACATCAGTTTAAAAACAGCCATATAAGCATATGCCCAACAATATACTGAATACAATTAGTGTGAATTCATTTTAAAGATCTAACTCTTCGGTAGTCTAGTGGTACAGAATCGTGTGTGAAAAACTGCTGTTCATTAAGAGAATGAACAGCAGCATTTTTGTTTGTTAGTGTTTTTTTTTTTTAAGCTATATTCTCTGAATGTGCAACAATCATCCAACAATGTTTTGTACAATATAGTCATTAATTCTGTATTTTTTATTTAATAAAATTCAGTGTTCACAAAGAAATAAATTGTCCCGTCAATGTCCTAGCTATTCAATGGCTTCCTTCTCTGGAAGATAATCCTTTTAAATTAGTGATGAATTTAGCCTGCATCTGAAATCGCATACTTCCCTATACTATATAGTAAGCAAAAAACAGTATGTGACATGAGTATGTCTGAAATCACAGTACTCATAAAAGAGTAGGCAAAAAGTCCCCGGATTACCTACCAACTTTCGGCGAGATTCTTGGTGTGCATATGATGGACACTTTACTATCCCATGAGGCCACAGGAGAGGATTTATGAATGCCAGTGAAGCAACGCAACTGATCCTGGTAGGTCACATGATAATTACAGCACGGCGAATGTAGTACGTCCAGATTCTGACGCAGCCTTATTGTAGTGATGGCGTGACTAGGACTAATGACAAGAGACATTTTCCCCCGGGTTCACAGACAAGGCTTAAGCTTAAGTCCAAGACTAAAATGTATGTTTGAGTTGTTTTAACTGAAAGCAACTGGCACTGAAATATCTTAAAATATGTCAGTGCCAGTTCATAAATGTCTTAATTGAACTAAGGCGTAATCCTAGCTTAATCTAAACCCTGTCTGTGAAGCCAGGCCTCTAAGTCAATTAAGTCATCATAAAACAACACTCAAAACTCAAGGCTCAATTTCATCCACTGAAGAATTGATTGGAATTCTTTAAAGAATGTGAAAGGGCATTCCATAGTAGACTACACTCCTCAAAACACCAGCAGCCTTAGTGACATCAGCTGAAAATGAAAATCGTAAAGTTATGTTTTGATCATTACAAAGACAAACATTTGTTTCCTTTGTAATATGCACTGATGCAACCAGGAACATATCAAGAAATCGCTTCATTCTGATTTCATGTCGAGTCTTGACTTGTTGACAGTAATGTGAATAATACAGCAACACCTTAATAAGTCCCAAGTAGTTGTTTACATGAAAATGATGCTGGTTTGACATCCAACCATCACTAGGGGCCATATTTGATTTTTATTTATGATACAATTTGTGCATTTTTTGTCCTTTTGGAGCTTGACAGCACATGGTCAACAGTTAATTTAATGTCGTGTCTAAAAGAGCTGCATGAAGATGCTAAAAAGAAAAGAAAAAAATCTCCAAACCGGATTGAGGTAAATTACAGAATTTTATTTTTTTTGAAGCGAACTAATCCAGATCAGTCGGTCATATACACTTCCTTTCAAAAGTTGGGTTTCAGTAAGATTTTATTTTTTTAAAATAAATTGAAACTTTTTTTCAGTAAGGATGCTTCAAATTGATTAAAAGTGAGTTAAGCCATTTATAATGTTACAAAATATATTTATTTCTTTTTATCAAAGCATCCTAAAAAAATAAATAATACTAATTATATAAAAATATTTAAATAATAATAAAAATTGTTTCTTGAACACCAATTCAGCATATAAGACTGAGATCTAAAGGATCATGTGACAATGAAGACTAGAGTAATGATACTGAAAATTCAGCCTTGCCATCACAGGAATAAATTACATTATTAAATAAGTTATTTCAAATTGTAATAATACTTTCAAATATTTTGTTTTTATTGTATTTTTGATCGAATAAATGCAGTCTTGGTAAGCCTCATGAGTCATAACTTTATCTGAATGTAGATTGATGATCTAATGTAACATTTAATAGTTTTAATAACTTTCAGAGATCAGTTGACTAATAATAGTTTTGTGAATGTGTTCCTGTACTTTGCAAAAAACTTCAGTTACACTTTATATAAGGTGTCCTTGTTACAGTGTAATTATCTATTTAAGTACCGAGTAATATTAATTTAGAACATGTACTTACTATTTCGTGAAGGTTAGGATGTAGGGTTTGAATTGGAGTTAATTGCATGTAATTATGCATATCTTGCTGTTATTACTTCAGTTAGCATTATGTCTGTAACAAGGACAGTGTTAAATAAAGTGTTACCAAAACTTCTCTCAGGATGATAAATGACTGCATCAATGATCCAAAGGCTGTGAATAACACAATACTATTATACTAATTCTATTAAACAGCAGTATTTCTTGCACATTTTCTGTGCAATAATAATAATAATAGAAATTTAGTATTCTATACAATGCAAAATAACCATTTCTTTCTGAGTTAAAAGGACTTGTGACAAATGTTACATGCTTCAGTTTGATATTTATACCATTGCATAATTAATTCCATTTCACACACTATCTAAAACTAAAAATAGTAGGCAGCATACTGTGCGTTCTGCACATTTTTATGACACTAATATTCCATTCCAACACAGCCAGTGTGTTGTAACTAGATCTTAGCGCCGTCACTGATACTGGCCACTAGGGGTCATAAAATGGGTTACTTGGAAGCCTTCTAATATTACCCCCTCACATGATCAACCTATTTTAAGTTTAGAAACTAGTCAGAACCAGATGTTGATAAACAAAACACAAACCACACCAGACAAGGCTAGGTTTTACATATAAAAATAGTTTATAAACCATGCAGGCAGGATATATATTCACCCACAACACACTCATTAAAACACCTCAAAAAAAGATATCCCAAAAATAAAGAAATGAAGGAAAATAAAAAGATTATTCTTTTGTTTTTTTTTGTAGCTCAGTTGCGCACTAAAGTTTAGTCTGTGGTCTTACATCAGATATGTACACGTGGTTAACCCATAACCAAAATAAATATAGGATACACGGATTACACGCATACATGTATTTAAGATAAGGATAAATAATATGTAACTTTCTCTGTAAAAAAGCAGTAATTATGATGATGTGAGCAGGGTGTGGATTGGAATCTTTAAAGGTCGGTGGCGACGGATACCTCACTACAATCTGACGAGAGCTCTGGGAAAGATTCGGTACGCTCTCTGTTCCCAGAGTTTGGGCCCTTTTAAAAGCAGTGGATATCATAGATGGGTGAGCAGTCTTAAAAACCACATACAAATATATTGCACACCTCAAGGAGAGAAAAGCAGTCTTTAGTATGGACACTTAAAATCAGGAGACTTCACTTCCATCAGAGGAGTGAACTGGAGCGCCACCGCCAGAAATAAACTGCACAAGTTTGTATAACGCAAGGCAGTGTGTTTTTTTGTCAGCCTCTTAGCGTTTGTTTTTCCAAGCCTTTATTTGTGCTGGTATGCAAGAATACAACAGACCTGAGTCCGGTGTGCAGCCTTGATACCCTGATAGCGCTTTATGTGCATTTGCCTGCAGTAACTGTCAGTCTTCTGCACGTGACGTATGCACTCAAGTCGAGTCTCCTCGTCCCTTTCTTGAAATCTTAAAAGGATCACCTACAAGCTTTTAAATAAATACATCACTCACCTGTCACATAAACTGTGTAACGTGAGGGACAATCTTTCCATAATGCACTTTCAAATACCTCAAAATAATGTCTTTTCGAAGAAACCCATGACCTTTGTCTACTGTGCCATTCATGAAGCCATTATGTTTTTTGGCAGCTGTTTTTAAAACCATGTCAAGGTCCTCATATAAAAAATACGGCTCCTGGCGCCATATTGACAGCGGGTTTTAAAAAAGTTAAAATGGAGGTAGTGGGGCAGGGCTCAGTGGGGACAATCAAGCCCCCCATAAAAAGATCCAGCCATGTTTTTTAGCATAAAATGTTTTAAATCAACTGTTTTGTTTGGACCAGGCACTGACGATATTCAGGCACACAGCTTTCCCGCTCTCTCGACTGTCTTTATAATACTTTAAATGTATGCGTTCAATAAAACCCCCAGTTCCCTGAAAGACACCCCCTCCCCATCCGTCTGAAGCTGAGGAATGAACTACGTGTGGTGGATCTCATGGAACATGAGTTCACGTGGGATCTGTGTCTCTGGGCCAAACTGCTTGGACGCCCGCCGCTCGAAGGCTGACACCATCTGCTTCACGACCTCGTCGAAGAAAACGGTGGCCAACTGAGAATGCAGGAGTGAGCGGAACTCAAAGGAAATCTAGGAACAGAAAGAAGCAGCGAATCACAGACAGTCCCACTTCGACATTTATAAAGCTCACAAGTCGGGTTCCTTAAGTAAAACCCATAAACCTTCTAAGAGAGACCTAACATAAGCTCTAAGTTTGTTAAATGATGTTACAAGCTTGTGTAAAAGTCAGTGTGATGACTTATAAACAAAATAATTACAAAAATGTTTAACAGTCAAACACCAGAAGCAATGAAACTGATTGGTGAATCGTGTTTCAGCGTTGCAGCAAAGCCACCGTTATGAAATCAAAGCAGTTAGTTTTTGTAGGATACCATTATGAAAACACAAACGGATTCATTTACATTTTTCGCAGTGCTTTATGGGATGAGTAGATGTTTAATTTCCTCTTAATAGGAGCCAAGTACAATCTTTTTCAATTTCTGCTTTGAATCAAATGTTATCAAATGTTGTAATTCATAAATGTTATAACTAATCTCAGAGCTGGTTCAAGGTCCAAAACTCTTTATTTTAAGATTTTTCTGAAATATAAGAGAAGGAGAATGGGACTTCTTGAGCAAACTGAAATGTACTTGCTTGACGCGCAAGAACCAGCTTCTGTTTATCATATTCGATAAGCTTCATGTATGTGATGTGTTCAAGTTTATATGTGAGGCAGAAAGTAAATATGTTCATCACATAAAGCAACAGTGTCTGAAGTGTTTTGGTTTAACAAACTTTCAATAGAAATTAAAAATACTGAAAATAACCTCATCAAGGTTAACGGAGATCGACTACTTTTGACTGACAAAATTCCAGCCACCGGAAACACTAACTGATAAAGTGAGTCGTACAAAACCTTTCTTTTTAGTATACTTTGTGTACACAAACAATAAATTCAATGCTCAAGTTCATGTGTAGAGGCCCTGGTGATACTTCAAGCACAGTTTCATGTTGTGTCGAGCCTTCTTAGTGTTTTAAAAACAGCGATTTTGATGCTATCATAGAAGTGCCACATGCACTCCCATTCAAAAGGCATTTTTACCTAAAACGAAAATACGGTCAATCTTAAAAGTGGCGTTTCCATTCTAATTATGCTTTTACACGAAAGTTTGACTCTGGTAGATAAACAAAAAGAGCCTAGGCTCAATTTTGGCAAGAGTTACCCTTTAAGGGCTTGGGATGACATGAGGGTGAATAAATGATGACAAAACTTTCCTTTCTTAAATATTCCTTTAAGTATGAGCAATGGTAAAACAGGAGTCTTTGCAAAATCCCCTAAATATACTTCAGACTTAAGTATATTTAGTGTTAAAAAGAACTTCAGTTTCAAAAACATTCAACAAAAAAGTGCAGCTTAACCTGAGGACGATAAACCAGTTTGTGTTAGTAATACTCACAGCAAAGTCAAGGGTGCATGTACGGGGGTAGCCAGGAAGACCAGGACTGAAGCGCCACACCGTCTCAAGGCTATTGAAAAGTTTTCCATCAGAGCAAGATGCCTTAAGAGCAGAAGAAGTTAGAAATGACTTGTAGCTCACACACTTTATTAATAAAGTCTGATAACACTGTATATGCCACTAAATCACTGCCATCAATTCATACAATAGATCTATATTAAAGAAAAATGAAGATGTACATACCTTAACCAAATGAGGGCGGACTGTAGTAATGAGAGAGGTGTAGTTTTCTACCACAGGAGGGAAGCCCACAGTCAGCTTGGCCTTGCAAAATCCCGTGCGGCGGAATACAACGTCTGAACGCTTGCACCAGGGCACGAACAGCAGGTAGTCTTCTACCTTGGCCACAACTTCATACATTTCCTGCATTGAGTACCTGCATGCCATAGAAAAGACAGTTAGCCAAGATAATACAATAATGCTCTGTGTAAATCACACCAATTGTTTTGCTTTTATTTCGGTAGTAGATCTCTTAGGGGGGAACGGTCTTTCTACGCAGGCAAGTAGTAATTTGGCAGACACTTTAACTCAAAGTGACTTGCAGTACACCGAATACAGTGGAGTAATCCAGGGTTAAGTGCTCAAGGTCACAATGGTGATAGTTCATAAACTGTCTGATTACCAGCCCTGAGCTCCTTTAGCCATTACGTCACACCACAGAATCTACAGTTATAGTCTGCAATGACCTTTCCTATAAATCTAACAATATCGGCATGGCAGCTCATAACCTCACTGCAAAGGAGATTGGATGATTTAAATATAACTCATCACCATACAGGTGTGACCCAAACAAAAGGTTGTTGGATTTAGTGCTGTCACTGAAACATGTTTCTGATGGTCGATTCAGACAGCCAATCAGATATGAAGGCACAGATATCAGTGTGGGATTGAGTCACTGCTGAACGTCACTGCAGAATGGAATCAAGACAGAAGAAAGGTCAAACACTGTTTGTTTACAGTCACTTTTTTGTACACAGGGTCCATCAAAGGTAAAAGTGGGGACATCTTAGGTTTGAAGGTCTCATTTCGGAGCATTTTAAGACTTTCAAGTTAAAGATGAAAGATAAAATAAAATGTTCAGAGAAATTACTCAACTCCCACACCATTTGCTTGTAAGCCACAATCCGACCAATATGATTCTTTTTCAAACACACTGACTACACAGGTGCTCAGTTTTGTTCCTTGTGAGCTAGGTGTCTCTTTTCAAGTGTAAGTAACACCAAAGTGAATTGTTTAGGTTATTGTTAGTATGTCATAGGTCAAAGAGCACATGGGTCAAAGAAGGATGCCAACATGGCAGATGTAGTGTGTCCTGTGTCATAGGCTACAGACAAGTTCTTCTTCAAATTAAGTATGTGTTCATGTGCTGCATTAGTGCTGGGGCTCTATTCTGCAGGACAGCTAGGGCTGCACGATATTGAAGAAAAATGCCATATGCTAACTCATTAAATAATGTGATATTCAACATGCGATAAGATAATGCTTAAAGTGTGTAAAATAAACTAATTATCTTTAAAATATATTTAAAATTATATAACCTACATGTGTTTCACATTCTTTTTGTGACAAGAAAACATCCCTACAACTTCTGAAAGTGAACAGCAGTGTTTTACTGTAACATAAGAAGTGTTATTTGAACATCAGTGTAAACCACGGTGTTTAGGGTTTCAGGTAGGCCTACATTAGGTTTATTTAACAACAGAAAATGAATAATCAAATGTAAAAATAAAACACTGCTTAGTTTTCAATGTATGAATTAAATATATATACACTGATTCTTATTAAAGCTACAAAAGTTATTCAGCCAAGAGCAGTGAGTGATTTTCTCTTTGCCTTTTGTTCATGACCCCAGTTATTGCAAGCTGTTGCGATATGCATATTGCGATTTATACATTTGCGATATTTCGATAATTTCTATATTGTGCAGCCCTACAGCTGATCCTCTGCTCTAAAATGTCAGGCATCAGTTGTCATAAGCGGTTCCTAAGTAACTTGTGATGACGTGAGATAACCAGAACAGATCCATACTCCAATAACCCCAGATACCTAGAAAGCTGACCCAATAAATATTCCCATGCCCTGTTACATAAACAATATTTTTGCAGGGACACTGGGGCTAACGTAATCATGGACCTCAATTTTTTTTTTAAATAGCAACAGATCATGCACCATATCAAACTTGGTTGGGAACATACCCAATAATACGTCTTTCAGAGTACTCCTTCCTCTTGTTGAAGGACTCTGAGAAGTTGAAGAAGCTCCTGGCAGGAGCAACCACAGCACGACCTGACACAGCCCTGAAGAGGGGCGGCACTCTGGTCATCAGAATTCCACATGAAGACAGATATCTGTTGACAAAACAGGGTGAAAGTGTGTCATTCAGCAAAAGCATACTCAGTACCTGTACATAGACAGGTAGAGGCATTGTACAAGACTTTGTGTACTTTGTTAGTGTGATAATTTAGGCACCATCTTGCTTGTTGGATGTGTCAAGATAGCAGACGACTCCTGAGTCAGATAAGAGTGGAGAGAACGTATGAACAACATAGATAGCTGTTTGCAATGACCAAGATTTGGACTCTCAATCAAGACAGAGCCTTGAATAGCCTAGTGAAAACAGTTGCTCATTAGCTTTAATCTAATCCCAATAATATGCGAAATTCCAATAACTACTCTAAAATGTAGTTGTCCTTGTGGGGCGCACAAGTATATACCAACTGACAACTGAACAACTGAATAATTGTTAATAAATTATATTATAATTATGGAGACTCTTTATTGTTACTTTTGTTACTAAAATTGCCAAAAAAAATTGCCAAACATGTAGCTTAGATGTGGTTGCACAGAGTTTACGTACAATGCTTTATCATGACTCATTTGTGCTAATTTTATATGCAATTGTGTGTAAAAATGTAGCATTTAGGAGATCCCATCCCGGTATTGTTTTAATTGTTATGCGCTGGCTAATTTAATTTACAAAGACTTTGAATGCCAAGCTTCTGAAATGTTAATGAGGGGCTTAAAATGCCAACTGCGATGCTACCAGCCTTACAAATTAGACCACACAAGCATCCAAAATACAAGCTGCATAAAGCGGTTGTGTACTAGAAAAAAAAAAGTGTACTTCTGTCATGATTCTGCCATCATGTTCTTGATTTTCCTAGTCTTGTGGCAGGATCATGGCAGAACCATGTTTTGTGTACAAGCGCATGGCCTGTTGTTTGGGCCATGTGCTTGTGTTGTCTCGTTAGATACCCCGCCCCCTTGTTATCCTCGTCTTGTCATTATTACCTGGTCTGTGTCACCTGTTCCCCTCATTAGTTTCTCCCTATTTTAATCCCCTTGTGTTTGCTGTCCTGTGTCGGTACATTGTCAACTAACTTAGTCTAGGTGTACTGCCCTTCAGTTCTGTTTTGCCCCCTCGTGGGTTATTGGTTTACTGTTTTGTGCCTCAATAAATCCCTGTTGCTGCATATCGTCTGCGTTTTGGGTTCTCTCCTTCAACCTCATGACAACTTCTTGATTCAAACTGTTCATCATTAACTACAAAACCTTATGGAGTTGTGCATTCATGCCATGGGACTGGGAGCATGGTTAAAGGAAATATAGGATAGCCTATGCAAATCATGACATGTTAACCTGCCCTCTATTTGTTAAGACATAAATCACAAGGAGAGCAAGATCACTGACCACTATAACCAAGTCAATGGCAGTAGTAACAGCCCATTCCATTAAAATGTGTCCGATGTATGCCAGATCAATCACGTACACATCTGAAATGCAAGGGGATGGGGCTTTGCTCTCAAAATGGCACAATATCTCCTCAATGGAGAGACCGGCACCCAAATTCATTCATGTCAGTGCAAGTGCTGCCAAGAGCTGTCAAGCAATGCGTAACAGTGACAGCAGATAGTGACAGAACGGAAACTTCAGATGGCCTTATGCCAAGCAGTTATAGCACTTGGCTGACCAACACTTGGTATGGGTACACTACGTCCCTGGCCACAAGTGATAAACGTCACAGCTTGGCTTATTCTGCAGAATTCTGTAAATTCATACCTGCAAAGGTGTCTGGAAAGAATTACTAATGAAATCATTGTTGCACTATATATTTGGTTTGTTATTTCCCCAGTAAATGGGTGCCAAAAGTTTATTTCCCCAATAAAAAAAAGCGATTGCATCTGATATGCTGCTATATTGTATAATAATTAAATCTTAACTAACACTAACTGTATGCAGCTGATGACCAGATTTTCCAAAAATCACACTTTTTGTTGTTTCCCCTTAAAGGCATTTGGCTGCACATGAGCTTGAAGCTATATTAATAAAATAAATACACTCGAATAAACACCCGCTGCATGCAGTTGATAATTAATTATTCCAAAATGAGAAAAGCTCTTGTTAGATACACCTGGTCAATTACATAATATCTTAACCTTGCCACTGTCTCTTATCTGGCAACCAGATATGTGACTCCCTCCCTCCCACCCTTCCTCCTAAAGTTAGTGTGGTTTTTTACACATTTATTTGAGTACGTCAAATACATTAATACATTGTTGGACAGTAAATAAAGGTTTTATTAACACAAATGTCAAGTTGGCCTTATATTGTATCCACTTGTAAGAGCGAAACTAACCGTCCAACTATCGTCAGCAGCTCGCGAGTTATTTCAATAATCACTTCGATCTTCACATAACCGCACACAGGCCGTTCGAAACATTAATCCGTCGTTAATTACCTCACTCCATTCCTGCCCGGTGTTTCTCGACTGGTTGTGGAAGGTAAGTTTCTGATACATTCCGCCACCGCTCTCCTCAAACACCGGGAGCCTCTCGCCATCTTCACTTCACCTCTTTTTCGCCTCCTCCCGTCGAGAACTCTTTTTTTTCCGTCTCGAAGACCAGCCTTCTCAGAGACCCTCCCTGGGATCTCATTGGCTGAGGCTGTTTTTCTTGACTTCGGATTGGCTGAGTCTTCCGTCCGTCACATAGTGAGACTACTGACGTCAGAGTTTTAATTGTGCAGAGGGTTTGCGTGCGCAGAATTGTCACGGGATGCAGGATTGGGTTGCCCAGACTGCGCGACCTACAGTGCATAGTAAAGGTTACAGCTAAATTTGTTTGAGGACACAATGTAAAATCACTAATAATTTTAAGACGAATACGTTAAAACGAATACATTTGAGGAAAACACCTTTAGATTAAAATGCATAGGGGTGAATTCAGAGTGATTTGATTGGGACACTTTTTTGCCATTGAGATGACTTGGAAAAAGTGTCCCAATCAACCTGTATTCACCCCTCATGTCTGTCCCGTATTATAGCTGTTATAAAAATACTACTGAACTACATTGGCTTAGACTGCTTGTTGATGTAATATAAGTTAGCCCTGATCCAATTTGGAACACTTTTTCCAATGATGTATTTTCCAAAGTAGGTTATCTCTAAATTTCCCTTTAAGCTATCAGATTTTGATAAGAAAATGGTCATTGCCTGGCGGTTGATCTCTGACCTCACCTTTATTAATTTAGAATAACTAGAATACTTAAAATAATAGAAAAAAAATCATTAAGCTACACAAATTATATGTATATTATGCATTTCTTCCAGATCCAGACTAATGCCATTATTTGGTTTATATCAGTAAATGCTAGATTTTAACATTTGTTATTTTATTCAGTTTTTCAAATGTATTGCATTCCAGTTACTCCACACGATTTTCTATGGAAATGGACGCTATTCTTTATTCTCCATAATGCTTTTTTAAAACTGTAGTTAGATCTCTGCCTCATTTGATGGCTGTGTAACATATCAGTTTGAAACAATATATACATTTTATATAATCCTTTTGTTTAGAATAGGTTTCTAAAAGCTCTTTAGAACTTTTTTTTTTAGAGATCAAAAGTTGCATGTCCTGATGACATTTCTCGGAATAAAATGTGGTCTTTTTGCCACATAAATATTTTAAATATTTATCTTGGAGTCTGAAAAAAAAAGTACGCACAAAGAAATCTCCCAAAAGCTGCACTATGGCTACATTTCTTAAGCAGATGCGAGGGGGGGTTTTTTATTGCAGAAAATTAACATACAAATAATAACAAAATATGAAAGATGCGAGGGGTGTTGTTGACATTTGCCAGCTGTGATGACGTCTAGTGCTCTGCGCATGCGCGTTCTTGTGAGCGCAGTAGAGTCGGATGTGCAGTCAAAGGCCTTCCGGTACTGAGGCGCACACAACAGCTCGAAAATGGCGCAGATCGCCAAAACACATGACGGTAAATTTGTTTAATTATTACAATGAATATATCGCAATCTGTTGTTCATACACATATATTGTATTTGGGGTGCTATTTCTAGTCTTACGCAGTGGAATTAGCGAGAATTAAGCCGAATTAGACCTGTGTGAGGCGGTGAATAGAATATGGCGTCTGATCGTTGAATAAAACCTGGCCGTGGCGCACATGAGAAATATCAACAAATCCTGCTTCTGGAGATTTGTATTGTGGTTTATAGCAGAGTTATTTCTAACATTCCTTTGCAGAAATGCGTATTACGTATTATGCTCTTTGCCTTTACTGTGTAAATGTTAAAACACACTGGTTAAACACCGATGTACTGAAACCAAAATGGCGTTGCAAACAGTCAAACACAGAACAAAACTTGTCCCATTATCTAATCTCTACATAGAGGTTTTAATTGAGTGTGGTTATTTCTAGTACTTTGTAGATATGAGTTGTATTCATTGTCCAGTAATTTTCTGCGCTCATGTAAAACGCATGGATCTTTATATTATGTCAAATAAACAACATAGTATACATGTTTACGCACTCTTGTCTATATTAGAAGATTGCTAAGCGTGTATGCACGTACAGCTCTCTTTCTCTCTCTATTTATATAGGTCATATAAATTATGGCTCTTTTGATGGTTATATAATAGTTGTAAGCAGTTTATAGGTATTGTGGGGTTCTGATCTAGTTTTATTTCTGTTTTTTTTTTCTTTTCTTAGACATTGATGCTCAGATCCTGGAAATCCAGGGGATGAAAGCCGCCCTGGCAGAGGGAGCTGACCAGGGTGTCGGGCTTGATTCCACTGGATATTTTGACCAGGAGATCTACGGAGGCAGTGACAGCCGTTTTGCCGGATATGTGACTTCAATTGCTGCCAACGAGCAGGAAGAAGTAAGCGATGACAAAATGCTTTTAATAGTTTTAGAAGAATCCATGTCAGAATGTGTAAGTACTGCATGGTGGTGTTTCTGATCCCTACTATTTTTATTTCAGGATGATGATGAAGATTCTTCCACTAGTCTGCTTGGACAGAAGAAACAAGGATATCATGCACCGGTTGCAATACTCAATTCCATTCCTCAGTCAGATGAGCAGGTAATGAACAGATTTTCAAGTTCCAATATTATTTTTGTTTAATTTTGTGAAGTCTTCAATAAAGCGTCACTTTATGTATTTCCCAAATGCATTTGTTGTAGGATATAGAAGAAAACTGTGATTATACAATATTCTCTTTTTTGCCCACCCTGCAGTATGATCCCTTTGCTGAACACAGACCACAGAAGATTTCGGACCGTGAGGACGAGTACAAGAAACGCAGACAAAAGATGATCATCTCCCCAGAGCGCCACGACCCGTTTGCTGATGGTAAATTTCACACCATCATTCTCCTCTGTTTAATTTATCTGTCCATGCCGATCAGTATTTACTCTGCCCATGAAGTTCCGGTCCAGACTGGCCTTTTTGCTGCTTAACCCTTCGAACACCACCCAACAGCTTGCTCCCTGGACTCAACTGACCTGTAAGACTGTCTCAGTGAGACACAGATCATTTAATGGAATGCATTGAGAACTAATTATGATGGTAAATAGTTTTAAATGAGTTGGGCAGCAAAGGTTTTGGGAGACAGTTGGTTGGGTGGTGTCATCTGTCCCATCAAGGCATAGGTTGCAGGTAGGTGTGTTGTTCGAAGGGTTAATGTATTTTTTTGTGTGAAACAGGCAATATAATAGTCAGGCACCTCCAACAAAGACACTTTGAAGTATAAGTAAAAGTTTATTATTACAAGAGGCTGTAGCATACTGTGGTTGTGCAGTTACAGTTTTCTTTTCCACTTTCTCTTGTTCCTTAATAATATATTCTAGATATATTTGCCCAATGGCATGTTTGCTAGAAACCCCTGATGTGTCAAAGTCAGTTGTTTTTATTTTTTTCCAAACAAGAGTGGAACTCTAAATAAACTTGAGCCACCTGTGGAAAAACTTTAAAATTAACTGTTTACCGCTTGTAGTGTTAAAAAGCCAAACTGAACATCCAATGATATGTTTTCCAGCTATTTTAGTATATTTAAACCTATGGCCTGTGGGTGCTCATACTGCTACAAATTAGCAAGGAGTTTAGGAAGTTCAGAACATGTTTAAACAGGCTGCACAATCTCAAAACGGCAACATTCAGGATCAGATTATAGGAGGGAATTGGTTCTGGATCAGGCAAAACATCTTGCATGTAGTCCCAGATAGAGGAAGCTTTACAAAACTGTTGTGTAAATATATTTCTATTTTATTATCATAAAATAGAGATATATCTATTGAAGAATCTGTGTACCAAGATTCCACAGGCCCATACTAACTGTCCTTAATTTCTCTCCTACAGCAGTACTGCTATGCCAGTCCTGTCTGCACTCTCTTAAGGGTGCAGCAACTCGTCCTGTGTAGGTTATGGTCAACAAAAAGAAGCGTGTTTATCAGATAAATCAAGACCATAGTTGGTAGTTTTGCTTTGGTGTGAGGCCAGAGGGCCTTTAAGGGGAATCCACCATGGTTTCACAAAACCACAATATATATATATTTTTTTACTTTTATGAAGTTATGTGTCATTTTTAAAGCCTCATCAAGGACAATTTTCTCAACTTCATGTCCTCCCTTCTCATTCCAACTTTTTTAAAAACCAATTCATCATAGTTTTATTTTTTTAATGAAACCAGATGCACACAAGTGTGCATTTTAAATCCTTAATTTTTTTCTGATATATTTTTTTAAAGATTTTATTAGAATTCCCCAAAGTGTTCAGTGTCTCTGGCTGCAACACATATAGTAAAATAAATTATTTTAGAAGTCGGTTTTGGAATACTACAAGGTTTTTTTTCCCTTTTTTGTTTATAAATGAGTGACAAGAACAGAACAGGTGGTATGCAATTGTGTGTGTGAGTTCAAACCCTTTTCCAAAGTGTTACTAATGGTAAAGAGAAATTTTCTAGGCTTCTTTTCTGCCGGTTGAAGTCTGACTGCAGAGGGACCCTTGGCACTGAAAGTGTACGTATTCTGGAGAGCGCAGCCCAGGACCCTGCATCAGTGATGGCTATATCCTCTCCTTATCTCCTCTTAAAAGCAACAGAAACCTCTTTGTACCTGCCTGTTCTTAATGTATGACTGTAAAGAGTGCTTAGCTTTTATTGTCTAGGGTTGTTTTGTGTTATGAGAGGACAGTAATTTAAACATTAAGGCCATCTATTCAGGGACAGTTGACTGTAGTGCTTTGTGTGTGAAAACACTGGTTTTGAGACTCACTTGACTGACGGTCTCGCATCTTGTTGGTGCTCTTTCGCATAGGGGGCAAAACACCGGACCCCAAGATGCAGGTCAGGACGTACATGGATGTTATGAAGGAGCAGCATCTGTCCAAAGAGGAGGTGAATGTTTTTCTATGTGCTTGTCTTCTAGTGAAACGCTGGTTTATAAGATGTTGCTGACTGAAAAAATTCACAAGAACCTTGAGTTAAATTAAGAGATTTTCCTTTGACTAAAACCTTTCATGTTACTTTCTCCAGAGAGAGATCAGGCTGCAGATGGTAGAGAAAGCAAAATCTGGAGAGCTGAAAGCAGT